TATGTTTGTCTAGACCTTTATCCGGGCTAAAAATAGCATTCAGTATTGAAAGTTAACCTGTGTCTTTCACGTATAAGACGCAGGTAACTTTTATGAGACCAAATTTAGGAAAAAAAGTGCATCTTATATGCCGTCAAATACAGTAATTTTTTTTTCAGGTATGCCTAGAAATACATCTACTTTAAGGTGATGGTAAAAATTTTATTATTCAAAATTGTTTTGAATAACTTATGAAAATTACTGAAAAAAGTACAAATTTTAGTACTGAATCAGAAAATATCTGCGAATTTTATTTGGAATGAACTTAAATTTTGAAATGTGTAAGAAGTAATCAAGTAAATCTGATAAAAAAAAAGAGACATTATTAAATATATTCCAAATTCAATAAATATTGAGAAGCTAAAATTTTGAGAGCTAAACTACTTGTGTGATATTTACAAAACTTGGTGCTTTGGTATAATTTGAGTTCTAGAATTGAAATATGGAAAAAAAAATTGGTATGTCATTTCAGAAAAATTTGATTTTATGTCAAAATACCTATGTCTATAGAATGCTAATGTAAATATAATATATAACCTGAGTTGCGCTTTCAAGACAGGAAAAATGCAAGTTAAATTTCGTCAATTGGCTAAGTAAAATGGAAGATATAGAACTGTCCCCTTTTTTATGTTCGAATTGTAGAATTATATATGTAGAATGTTTTTAATAAATTTACCTTCATAACGCACACTGGCTTTCAAAAGTTAAGCATATAATGTTAAATCAACAAATACTGAAAAGTAAAGTTTTGATTAACACCAAACTGCACATGAAGGTAAATTTATTTATGTATGAAAGAAAAGCAAGCATTTGCTACAAACATGAAGACGATATTTAATTTTCACAAATGATATTATGACATCACACTTTGGCTCATTAACAAATTAAAATTCACAGCTAGAAACAAGTAAACAAAACTTAAAATATGTGACCACACCAGACCTTCACACAAATTTTACAGTGATTGCCTATACTTTCAATAAAATGATCAATCATTGTAGATCCTAACAGCCATTCCTCCATTATGGCGGTTTCCAACTGTCTGAGACTAGCTGGGAGACATAAATGTGCAAGAGACAGCATGCCTGAGAACGTCACAAACATTTTCAATTGAATTAAGATCAGGAGATGCATAGCCACTCAATAGCAGAATTTTCCTCATTCTTCAGGTACTCATCAGCAATGTGGGTCAATTTAGACTTGCATTATCATCCTTAGGACTGCTGCAGTGTAGAATCTCATAATGGGATGTAAGACTTACCTAGATACTTAGCAACCATCACAAAACTGTCTTTAAAGATGTGCAGCTGGGTGTGATATTCCATTTAAATTCCAGCCCACACCATGATGCTGCCATCTCTGAATACAGGATGTTTGATGATGATCTGGACTGATTCCGTGTATTTCGTTCTCCTCAAACCCTTACAAACTTATCATCTGATTGCAGGACAAATCTGGACTCGTATGAGAGTCGGTTATTGAGATGTTGGTGTCACCAATTTAATCTTGCCTGTCTGGATCAGGTAGTCAATGATACACAAACACTTGATACTCAAGTGTAGAGTCCGTTCGTGTGAAACCTTTGGTGTACAGTACTAGCAGATATCTTCTTCATAAATGATGCTGCAACTGTGAATGTAACAGTTGTAGAGCTCACTCTTTAATTCTGTTTGGCTACTGTAGCAATATACTGATTTTCGAAAGGTATGGTAATCTTTAGTCAACCTGGCTTAAGTCTCAGGAAAAACTGTTTGATTTGTTTGGACTTGTTTCTACATTCGAGAATTACCAAAGAATCAGTGCCAAAGAAAAGAGTGACATCTTTGATTAACCTTCTTGCTTCAGTGCATGTGACAGCATGACATTACTCAGTATACTTTTCCTCTTCCAGCTATAGAAACAAGAATATCATCAAAAATTGTCCTACGAAAGTTATAAACACTTCATATTCACATTTAAATGAACCTCCTAAAACCCTTTAGAATGCTATCAACGATTGCTTAATGAATAATGATGCTTAATGAGCATACAGTTAATCATGATCGGTTGTAACAATGTTTGCATGCTATCTTCTGCATTTTCAGTCTTTCAAATTCAACTAAACCTTTGAAAATTGCTCGTTTTACTTTTGCAAGTCAATGTATCATCTTCTTGAGACTTCTAAATTTTATGGTAACTTTATAACATATATCTTGCACCAGTTCCAAAGTAAGTATTTTGACAAGAAGACATGTTGGCTACTTCCAGTTGTATTACATTTCCTTTTTTCAGTTGATACACTTTTCTTTTTCATTCCTTTTTTCAATTGGTAAACTTTTCCTTGCTTATATAGCAATCACTTTGAACTGCTTAAGACATTCTAAATGTCACTGGGAATCAGACAGAGCTCATAATATTTGTGGCAGGTAATACAACAAGGTACAAAGTGTCAGTGATGTATGGTTACATTATTAATATAACCTAGTATCATAAGTTATAGCTCTTCAAATGGTAATGCCAGATATGATAGATGTATGTTATTTGACAATGATGTGGAGAAGAATGTCATTGCCTAAACATGCTTCATTGTAAATACTCTGGTCATCCAAGTTAAACGAAAACCATCATTCATAGCTCAGTGTGATACAACTGCAATCAAATGTATTTCAAGCTTCATGATTGCAGATCCAGAGTAGGTAATGATCAAAAATAGATGTTATTGTTATGCTTAATGATACATTCAAGATAAGTGATTTTGACAAAAAAACAAAAACCAAAGGTGTGATTTTCGTATTGCAACTTGACTCTGATCCTTCCATGTAGTGGTCATTTGCCATCTGCTGGCTATGTAATGGTTATGGAAGCACTGCATTTTCTAACAACTCTCTGATTCTTGTGCTGAAATTCTTTGGATACTTCTCTGAAAGTAGTGATGCATCTTTTGTTAAATTTGCTTAGTTGTTTGTACCCTCGGTGGTACTTTTTTTTTGGGGGGGGGCATTTTATTTAGTGATCTAAACATCACTATCACAGAAAGCAGTTCAAATTGGCACGGTGGCCATGCAGTTTACCTTATATGTACACTGCTGGACACATTTACTATCACACACTGCTAATGATGGATTTCAAATTGAAATGTAGCATAGCATTAAGCAGAGGTGGATACTAAGCAGGATAAAATACTGTTGCCACGATGGTTGGACAATAGCATAAAGGACTTTTATTATTGTTGTCATCCCTGAAAAGAAATTTATCACCAAAAAACATCATGGAAAACATAAACATGAGGCAGTAGAATTTTTCAGTGTATGGTTGGCCAGTTCATAGTTCCACTTTCAACCACATGCAGGATCATGCAACCAGTTTTCACGATTGCATCCCATATATTATATTGCCTTTTGGTATCAAACACTTTCCCGAATATTTTCTGGACAATAAGCAGTACCACAGTCATGCCAGATAAGTTAGTGTTTACAATCCGATGACAGATTGAGCCTATTCTCATCTGAGAATAGTATGCTATCCCAGTCCTCTTCAGTCCAGTTATGATGCTTGTGACATCATTGTAAATTGGCAGTATGATGCTCTCCGAATAAGTGGGCACAAACAGCAAATCTATAGGTATACAGTCCTTCTTGTCCAATACATTGTCAACAATTTTTTTGGAGATCCACTGTCAGTAGCAGCAAGAACTCATCTGCTACATGCTGAGCTATGGTGCAGCAGTTTCTTTTTGCTGATGTGGCTATATGTTTCTCTCCTGCAGACATGGTACATTTAACAAACTTTCCCCATGATTCTTGCTACATATTCCAGTTATTTTAAATGCTTCTACAGCTGTGAAACAATGCTGTGGGTGAGTTTGAACTCCCTGGTTATGTCTTTGATCTTTCCAGTGATGTGGCCATGTAACTTACATTTGTACAACAACTGCCCACATATGTCATATCCTTTAAATCTTTTATCAGCGCTATCATGTGATAAACAGATTGAGGAACTGAAAATTTGCATATGTGCACCTCTTCTTATTGTATCCCTTATTATGATTTTCCACATTTTACTTCCTTTAATTTTGTATTTGATGGGTGACTCACTGTGGGTGATAGAGTTGCTCGTCCAGCAGTGTATTTTAGGATACCCATCTACCATGTGGTGTGCTGTAGATATACTTTCATTCATGCTGTACATTTTCAGTGATTTGCCTATTAAGTTATCTAAAAGTTATTGTGTGTTAACTTCCAATATTGAGGGCACACTCTTCTTATATATATATATATATTTATTTAATGTAATTGTAATCATTGCATGCATGGTCAGTAGTAGGGCTAGATTAAGACTGCCAGAGGCTCTAAGCACTGAAAAGATTTTGATGTCCTCACATATGTTTACAACACTTACACTCCATGCCTCCTTTTGATTTCAGTTTAGCTGCACCATATATTCCAAGGTTAAACTAGCAATGAAATTATTTTTGGTGTCCTCTTTTCTTGGATTCCAAAGGCCGTTTCTTTAGTGCCCTCTTTCTTTGATGCCCTAAGCATGTGCTTGTGTTGCTTAATGCCCTAATCTTGTAGTGAAGGGCATATATATATAGTTTATATATATAGTTCCCCCCCCACACTGGCGGGGTTGGAGTTAGTGCACAAAAATAAGTATTATGTATTTTGAAGTAATTAATTGTTCGTGAAACTTTAACATTTTTGTGTAATTACATTTTATGACTTTCATGCATCAGTAAACCCGTTATTTAATGTTTTTTAAGTTAGAACTCTAAAAAGCTATGATCTTGAAAGTGGTGTATTTATTCTAAATAAAAAAGAAATATTTTCTTGTATAAGAACCTTTTTTTTTTTAAACATTTTTAAAAAGTTGTTTTTTAACTGTGTTAAACAAAATTAAATCATGTAATAAGAAATTAGATTTTTGTCCTAAATTGTGTATAAACTGAATTTAATTAAATGTATATGTATTTTTTTTTCAAGCTTGCAACAAATACAGACCTGAAAGCAATTTTAGTATTGGGAGGAGAAAAAATAGAAAATCAATTTGCTGCCATTCATGAAAGTCCTGATATTATAATAGCCACACCTGGCCGTTTCCTTCATGTAGTAATTGAAATGGATCTGAAGCTCTCTTCTGTAGAATACGTTGTGTTTGATGAAGCTGATAGGTATCACTTTGCATTTTGAAGTATTTAATTCTATATGAAATTACAGTACAAAATTTTATGATTACTTATACTGTACAAAGTCTGAAATCGAAACTTGTCAGGACTTCAGCAATTCGGATATTAGATAATCAGTTTAATAATAAGATGACATGTAGAAATTATACAACTGAAATTTGATCATTCTTCACTACGTCTTTGTCATTTTCTTCACTATTGGTAAGTTTCTGGATTTATAACCATAGCACAGATTTCATCATACCTCAGTTGATGATTTGGGGCATTATCATCACAATGAAAAATGTCTGTTACATCATCTTCATTTTTTACTTCTCCATGTTTCTTCATAAATTCTATTAATAGGAAAATTTTGCGTGCAATATCTGAAAACCTTCAAATTCACTGTTATCATCATGAAACTTAGCTAGCTTTCACCATGCACTGTTAGCGATATATCATGAAATTGGCAACAAAGACATATTGTTCCGCTAAATTTTGTCTTTCTTTATCACATGCTGACGAAGTTGAGCTTGAAATATGTTAGTTATGTATTATACTTAATGCCTATTTCCCACATAGTACATGTGCTAGACCTTTTACAGCACCGTGCAGTCTGTATGGGTCCTAAATTCTGTGTCTAACATTTAAAACTTTCATCGCATCTAAATTTTTTTTCCCAGTGCCTTCCCTAAATTCTAAATGTTCAGTGCTTGTTTAAATTCTATAAATTTTCCCACCTCTAAATTCTGCCACACAATGTGGCTGTATGAGGTATGGCACTAGTCCTGGACTTAACTGAGTAACAAATCAGTTATTCTCAATTCAAACAGCACTAAATATAATCAGTTGGCCTATGAATATCATTTACAGAATCTATTTTTTGCTTATGGGAAGAAATTTCTGTTAAATTTCTCCTCCTCAACATACTCAACACAGTAGATGCAATTAGCTGATGTCTGTAATCATCCCGGCGTGTAATGTCAGCATAAAAGCTTACCATTTTCTTTGGTATTCAATTACTAATATTAAAAATTAAATAAATCAGTAAATAAATAATTTAGTTTCTGCCAGTCATTTCTCAAACTGCAATGTGTTGATAGTGATGGGGTAATGAGAGCAAAAAATAATAAATGATTCAATAGGTTGGAGTCAGGATTTAAGTGAAATTAAGGATTGTGTCTCTTGCATGTTTATTATGAAGAAATATTAAATGTACAAGCATAAAACATTGAAGGGGGGAAAAGATGTGTTCTGCTGGTGATCCGGAGGTGATGTCTAGAAATCGGAACTTTGTACCGTATTTAGTAAAATTCTTAATTAGTGAACTTTTATGAAAACTTGTTATGTAAGATAAACTGTGGACATATTTATATCTGTTAATGTAATCAAGTTTGTATTAGTTTTCTTTAATAAATTTAAAAGTCAATTCAGTTGCAAAAAAGAATTTTGTGTTAATCTATAATTCTGAACTTAAAATTATAAAATTTTACTGCTTTTAAAGTATTCCTAAATGACTATGCAATTTAGAAATTACTCATTAAAAACAGTCCATATTCATAAGACATGATAAGGTTTCCCCAAAATATGGTGCAATGTAGAAGTAGTAATACAAAAATCCTTAAAAGTAATAGAAATTACTATTATTTTATTTCCATGAGTACTAGAAATAATTTTTTATCATTATTAATATTTGATTAAATATACATAATGTTAATAAGGTAATGCATAAAAAAGAAGACAACAGTTGTGTTTCTTCCATTGTAGTTGATCAATTAATGAAATTCAACTTTCATTTTTCATGGCTAAAAAGTTCAACTTAAATTATGCATATATTATATTTATAAACAGGTTGACTTCCACCAGTATTGTATAAATACATGTAGTAAAACATTGAATGTTCATTATAGATCTTGATGTAGGCAGTCCAAAAATTTATCTTGTAGTTTCACATATAATAGTAAAATGTAATGAGATATATCTTTTGGGGTTAAAAATTGTAAATTCCCCCTGAATGAAAAAAAATCACTTAATCTGCTTTTTAGTACAGTTATTGTGTTTTTAATATAATTTGTGTGTAAACTTTATTGTTTGCATATTATTTTCTTAAGATCAAAAGTGTTCTGTAAGTTTATTTTAAACTCTTTTTCAATTTAAAAATGTGTTTGCTTTTAGGTTGTTTGAAATGGGGTTTCAAGAACAACTTCAAGAAGTTCTAAATAGACTTCGCTCTGTACGACAGACTTTACTGTTTTCTGCGACTCTCCCAAAAGTCCTGGTTGATTTTATAAAAGTTGGAATTGAAGACCCAGTACTTATTCGATTAGATGTTGATTTACAAATTAGTGATAATTTGAAGGTACTTTCTGTTCTGCATTTAAAAATTGTGCCTTGTGCTATGAATTATAAATGAAACTATGTAAACTAAAAAGATATATTTTTAAAAAGCTGGTGTTTTAATGATAAATATATTATAGTATTTCAAGAGTAAATTATATTGGGTAATAAATACAGTAAAATTCCAGAAATCCGCAAAGCTTGGGACCAGAGGTTGTGCAGATTTCAGGACAGAAAAGATAAAGCATAATATTTAGACTAAAAGTGCAAAATGAATAAGGCATATTAGATACATTTAATTAAATTATTATATACCGTATATACCCGCATATAAGTCGATACCGCGTATAAGTCAACCCCCCACTTCGACATAAAAAATTCGTAGAAAATAAGAAACCCATGTATAAGTCGACCCCCCACTTCCAAAATTGATCGAGAAACTTCAAAAAAAATTTTTTAAGTACTACTTTTATTCAAAATCATCTGAGAAAAAAAAAAGTAAATATACGATAAAAAATACCTTGGTAATTAAACAAAATCAAAATCCTTCAACGTCAGATTCGGCAAACATATCATAGAACTCTTCTGTCGTCATTATACATATTTTCAGTCTCGAACTGTGTATTGTAACCTTCTAGAATTTGTTCCGGTAAAGATTCGCGTACGTAAAATCTATCTGCATTTTCCCTTTTTAAAAGTTAAGAAAAATATTCAAAACTGTTCAGTTATTGCGTGGGTTATTTTTTTTAAATTTTGACATGTACACCTGTTAACAAAAGTATTTCATGAATGAAGAATAACTATTATAAAGACTTAATGTACGTAAAAACTATTTGCATTTCTCTTTTCTTGGCGTGTTGGCGAAACTTTTTTATTGCTCGATATTGATCGGTTGTTTGGGGGCCGAAAATTCTTTGGTTTAATTGAAACTTACTCTAGTTAAAATATGAAACTCTGTGATTAGTTCGTCACATAATTTAAGTCATGAAATTACTTCAAGTAAGTGACTTATTTGATAAGTCGTCCAATTTGAGTGCTGGAAGAAAACAACTGCATTATGTAAAGAAATTTTTGAACTTCCGATTCTTTTAATTTTTTATATCCCCGTGTATAAGTCGACCCCCCACTTTGAAGTCTCTCTTTTTTTTTTTTTTTTTTTTTTGTCCAAAATATCTCGACTTATACACGGGTATATACGGTACACTATTGCAAAAATTTATTATATGCATTAAATTATTATTACATATATAAATTGATTATATTATTCATTGTATTATATGCACACAGCATCGAGGTTTGCCGATTTCGCCTCATGCAAAGATTTCCGGTTTCAGATTCTGGTGTTGGAATCACTGTTGCTGTAAAATTTCAACAGCTTTTCTTTATTTTTCCGTGTATCATACGCAATCATGTCGCAATTCCATACCATTCTGCTATAAATCGAGGAGTAGCACCTGCTTCCATCTTTTGCAGAATTTGCACTTTTTGCGTTACCATCAATGCAACATGTTTACATTTTTCAACGTTGCAAGCAGTAAAATCACGAGTGTGTTTCTTATCTGTCATTGTATTAAAAATTGCTGAAATTTAAAATATTCTTAATTTAATCCGGATAAAAAAAAGCAGCACTAAACAATCTCGTGAAATGAAATAACGAAGCTCAGAAAATACAACAACGTGAACATGAACTAGAACAAAGAGTTGAGTGAATCGTCTGCTTTTTTACCTCGATGCAGATTAGAGGGAAAAAAACTTATCTTTTTTTTTTAAACTTTTTTATATCAATAATTTGGTATTTCCGTTTTGACTCATTACTGTTCAGTAATTATGACATCATTATTCGGTAAGTATTTTTTTCTTCGATATTTCGTACTCAATGTTGTGGTTTCCGGAACCTATAAACTGAATGTTTATATTCTGAGAGGCAACGCGGATTTCAGGTCGGCAGATTTTCAGTATTTGACTGTATATGTATTCTTTCTGACCTTGTTTCTATCATTGCTAAAAATGTAGCTAATAATAAATTCTGAAAATAGCAATGAAGGTGTTGAACACTGAAGGTCTTTTATATGTAACATTAATATATCCGTGTTTTCTGTTTTGCTTCATAGTGATGCTAGTTTTCCTTTAATGAAGATAATCATGCTAAGTTTAAAATAAATTCTGTAATTATTCAAATTGTGTTTGAAATGATAACCAACTGTAATTAAACAACAGAATATTTTTATTTAAAATTATCCTTTGGATTGTAAAGCACATTCAACAAGTTTAGTAAATTTTTGAGATTATGCTGTAGTTTTTTTGGTGATGTCATGGCTGATGGTTAACATCTTTTTAAACTAACATAAGCCAGATTTCAGCCAATAATGACTTATTTTTCATGTTCCGTAAGCACTTGAAGCAAATATTGTGACAGTGAAATAAGCATGTGGAATAAATAACCTTTATGCAGTAATAAAGCATTTTTATTCAAAGAAGTAAGCAGTTCAGTAACAAAACAGATGATTTGCACGTCATGAGTTTTTACGTTAGGTCGCCCCTCCCCCCATGGTAAATGAGTTTAAATGTAATGGATGAAAATTAATTCTGCTTTACACCGGTGAAAATCATCATGACTAATTATGTCAAAAAAGTCTATAGTATCTTTCTTAAAAGCCAGCAAATGAATTTCCTTGATATTGTTTAGACTGCAGGAATTCTAGATGATTGACAGCACATAATCATATGATTGGCGGTTTATTTGTGTGCTGCTTGGGTTGCATGTTCTAACTCATGAATAACTTCAATATTTAATCTATATATAAACTTAATTTGTTACAAACATATTTATAAATAATCTCTGATAAAGCTTAATAATCAATGGTGACTTTACAAATGATATCAACAACAGTTTAACAATTAAAATGTAAAGAAGCAATATTGAATTTGTCTGTAGGCTTCCAAATGTAAATACACATAATTATCTTCATTGTTCAAAGATTCAGTTCTTGCCAGCAGCAAATATTTAACAGTTTTCTTTACTTGAGAGTTTCAGAGTATTCTGTGTATTTGCTTTGTCTGCTATATTTTTTATTTGAATTAGTTGCACCCTGTAAGTTTCTTGGTTGTATTTCTTGTCCTTACATTTGTTATAGTTCAAGGCAATGTCAGAGAAGTTGCAGGATCATTTTTAATGAGTACCTTGAAAGTAAATGACTGTAAGGATGTTAATTACTAAAAATCATCTGAACAATAATAGTGAAATTATTACTTTTCTAATGTCAAGTAGACATTACTGGGCAAATTACTGCTTCTGTAGTGTCAGAAATATGTTCCATATCTCAATGGATCAACTGCCTGATATCAGCTTGTAAATTGCAGTTTGTGAGGGGGTCATGTGAACATTTTTCCCCCTTATTTTCAGTTAATCCACTGTAGGACCTGTTATGTTGAGTGTAGTGACTGTTGATCAAAAAGGAAGAAGAGGTTGAGAGGTTTGGAAGGAAATTTCAAAGCATCATTTAGTGTGATTAATTGCAATCCATAGGACTTTTTGCATTTATATGTGACTATGGAGGAACCATGGGGATGTCCATCCTTGTATAGTCGAATGAAAGCAGTGGATGTGGACAATGAATGGTGAAAATTCTAAAGAAATTCTCGTGGTTGATTACTCAAAGAGACAAAAAAGAATAACAAATGTACTCAAAAACATAAGATCATTTCAAAGCTCCTAGGAAACATCATTAGATCATTTGAAAGAATAACTGAGACTAATTCATAAAAGGGATCTGTTACCAAGACAGCAGCCCATTTCACAAAATAACTATCACAGCAGCAAAACTGCATAAATTATAAATTTATCCCAAATGACCCAAATGACTTCTTTTTTGTCTTAAAAAACAGGACATTTCCCTTGATTAAAAGAAATCCTTGTTGAATAAGGATATCTGCTAGATCTTATTTTGTAGCCTTTGGAAAAAGTTATTTTTTGAATTATTAGCCATGCTGGATTAATTTATAGTCTTAAATGGATGCCATGATAAGAAATAAAATTTGATTTTTATGAAAAAGATGATTAACCTGCTTCTTTACCATGTTTATGATATAACTTTCATACTATTGCTAGTAAATATAGTCTATAGTTGATAAGCACTAAATTAAAACAAAAGCTATGCAGTTTCGCTCTTTAGTAAAGTATTTGTATGCCATGTATAAAAGCTTGGTTCATTGATTGTCTTATGTAAGTGGCCTTGGCAAAAGAAAATAGCATTTGCCAAATTCGGGCTTAAGAAAGTGTGATTTGTTGCCAAATGTTTTAAACATTGACAGAAACGAAACTGGCTGTGGTAAATGATAAACCGACAATTTATTCAATGTCTATACAACACAAGTCATTTAATTTCTACATATAAAAGATATTTATTATAGTATTTAATACTATTTAATTTAACAACATATGTAAACACTTTGGAAAATTTTATTTATTATTTTATTTAATATGATTTTGTTAGCAATTTATTTTTAAAAAATGCATGCATAAACATACCAGAAAATTCATTTTTTATAGAGGCTTTTTGGTGGCCACAGAGCAGGAATTGCTAATAATGCATCAAATACCAAATATAGCTTTTTTTCCCCATTAATGGAATATTGAGAATAAATAGTAAGCATAACAAGTATTTTACAATGAAAAACCATTATATTATACAGTGCAATTACAAAAAACCAGTCAGATTGCTAACGGTTTGTTCCTTGTGCATGTGCAGATTGGTAACCATTTGTTCCTCACCAAGGCTTGCTACAGAAGGCAAATACCCTTGCTTTTGATAGTAAAAGATAAACTAAATTTTTTGTAATATTTTGTAAACATGAGAGAGTAATCTAAAAATGTAATATTCAAAAGGTAAGGGCTTATAAAAATGACCAACTTGCATTCTGTTCAAAATAATAAATATAACAATTCTTGTATATGTGAATATTACTAAAAGACAAATGTGCAGATTATTAAATGATCTATTTCTAATCTTCACATTTCTTTGGGCTATGATAGATAAATAAAAATGATCAAGGTAATTTTTGTGTAGCATATACCATACTTACTCACATATTCCCCTTGCCCCCCCCCTTTTTTTACTACTGGTTTTATTCTATGAAAAATCGAGTGGGGAAATTTATGCAAATAATGCTATTTTCAAAGAACTGAATTAAAATAAGAGTAAAACAAAATAAAAGTATTCATGTATAAATATCTAGTAACTTTCACTATATTATTTGTTTAAAAGGAACCTACACTTCATAAGAATACATAGTAATATTAACATTAAAATGTCTAATAAAATATCTTCATTTTTACCTTGCCTGCCTGTATAACTGTATAGCCCTCAAATCATTCAATGATGTTGGAATTGCTGTCTGTGTCATCTGCTGCAGCTTGCAAGTTGTTGCCATTCAGTCCTTGTTTCAATGTGCAATGATCTTCAGAACCATAAAAAAAAATATCTCAGTTTTCTTGAAACTCTTCACTATTATTGCTTCATCACTTGGAGCACATGCACCCTAAATGCACAAGCAAATCAATTAGCTAGATAAAAACAATAGCTGCTTGGATGAATCCAATGTAAAATTTAGGGAAGCTCATTTTATGAATGTTTTGAGGAAGAAAATTATGTATATATTTATAAAAAAAAATAAGAGTAATGAATAAATATAGAACTTTCCACTTCATGATTAAATAATTTTAATAAAACTGTGCAAGCTAAAGGCTTTTATATCAGGTTGTCGGATCCATCTAGACAGTCTTCGTTTTTTGCCATGTAGTATATGTACACCATTGAACTCGAACAGTTTCAAAAGTGAGATCTGATCTTGAATTAAACAGAGATTATAAAATTTCAACTCTATGTGTCATTTCACATTTGTGTTCAGTAGAAACAGTAATATTCTTGATTTTTCTGTGTTAATTTATGTTAGGAAGTAGTTGAAGGGCAAAGCCAGGAAACAGTGATCGTTTATCTTGGATTCTATCCTGGCAACTAAACATGCTTATTGGGTGAAATTTTTTTAATGCGAAATTATGTTAGAAAAGGTTTTTTTATGCATTGCAAGGTTCACAAGGTTCCTTTAGAAAGTCCTTCTCTTATTTAGACTGCCTTTTTATGTTTTTGCCATAATAAACAGCATCTCTATCAAATTGTAAATTCTTATTATTATGATGATAAAACATAATATAATAGTTATTTGTGTATTGAAGATTGATATATTAAGCTTAACAACCAGCAGCTGTAAATTTATAATATATATACATACATATTTTGCCCCTTCAAATAAATTTAAGAATGAAACCAAATAGTATTTTTCTCAGAAATTTTTATTCTGTAATTGAAGTACTTGTAATTATAGCAGCTTGAAACACTTTGTACCCATTCTATTTTGAAGCATGAAACATTTGTGTATGTGTTGCAAGCCTTTAAAAAAAATAAATAATAATTATAAGTAAGTACTGAATCCTGGAGTTTAAATTTAAAAAAAAAAAAAAAAAAAAAAAGTTCTATGTTTGTATAAAAATTTTGAAAGCTTAATTGCATTAATAGAAAGTTTTATCAGTGTATTATGTTTAAAAATAAAAGTTCATTATTAATTTTTTTCACTTTTGAATATGTGTAATTGTCTAGAGGTGTATTACTTATTTTATGAAGAATGCGTGATTTTGATTATTTTACAGCTGCTAAATGTACTTACAACTTTTTACAGAGTTCATTCTTTCTTTGTCGTACTGATGACAAAACTGCTGTTTTACTGTATCTTTTGAAGAATGTTGTCAATTTGACCAAAGAATTAACTGTAGTATTTGTTGCTACAAAACATCATGTGGAGTATCTGAAAGATGTAAGATGTATTTTTCTGTTCAGAATTTTTTATTGAATGTTTATCAGAAATACATATGTCTAAAAATAATATAATTATTTGCTTTACATGGTATCTTTTTTTTATTTCTTTTCTAGCTTTATAACCTAATTGCTGATTTTAGTTTGAAAATAAATATTATATGAAAGTTTTCTCAAAATAGAGGATTGCAAAAGAATTAATTATTTCAAAAAAAAATATCACTCTATGAAGGAATTTCTTTTTGATGCAAGTTTAACAGTTTTGAACTACAAATATTAGAGTTTGGTGGTAATTAATGATAGAAAATATTTTACAGCTTTAATGTCGGTCTTAATTCTTTCATTTATATACTTCCACATAGTTGAAAAATATATAGTCAAAAGTCGTTAATTCGGACACCCATAATCCGGAATGATGTATAATCCGGACCTCAAAGCTACAAACTTTCTTGACGCATGCGCGTAAGACCTTTACGGCTGCGAATATGCGTGTGCGCAAGCACATAATACGTTTACGCATGCGCATTTAATGTATAACGGACGGTATAAGCTAAGCTGTTAATGTTGCAAATTGCGTTGTTCCTTAATCTTCGAATTGAATTCGGCTTATTATTTTTTGCAGACTGTTAGAGCAATTTTATAAAAGTAAGCTTGAACTTTCGATTATGTCAAATATAATTTCCGATATATATTTACTAATATGTAAAGGATCTACAAAGTGAAAGTATGTTTTGAAATCGAAATCTGTTTATCAATTTCACGCTGCTCTGCGGCAGGGGGGGGAGAAACGCCGCCACGCGCTATGAATTGGAAGTTGATCTGTCAGCACTATCCTTATTTTCAGGGCAGATGTTTTTATTTTATTTGGTTTATAATTCCTTACTAAATGTAGTATTTCATCTCGATGTACTCCGTCTTTGATATGATTTAAATCAAGTTCCTCGTCATTATAATTCGCTTCTGATAGCAAAGAAAGTAATAGAGGTTATTGAAAACGAAAACATTTCGATTGACAAATTAGTCGGTATTCCCGACACAGCAATTATAGGACTTGAACAGCAGAACTTCGTAACTAAACAAGAAATTATGTCTGTTTAATAGAATTAAAGAGAAAGTATTATCACATGAAACGAAGCAACTGAAACAACTTACATTGAAAGAAATGTTTAATAAAGTAAACAAATAAATATTAAGTTTTTTCTTTTTGTAAATTTTGATACCCTTAAATCATAATTGTTCTTTATTTCATAAATTACGGTTTCATATTTTTAATTTTGTAATTTCTGCATGCCATCTTACCAGATTTAGATGATCTATAATCCGGGAAAATCGATAATCCGGAATCACCAAGTCAACGACGTTTGACTGTACATTGTTTTAAAAGTTAATAAAATAAGTTACTTATTAATTTCATGCTCTGCTTGCTGTTTTACAGAATTTTTGTGTAGTTTTAAAATAATTCTTAGTTCAAAGTATCTTGAAGTGATGTAGTGAATGTTATTGCACTTTCTGTCTTGCAAACTTTGTGTATAGGATACAAATGATCACAGTGTAATAAAGAAATTAACTGCATTGAACCTAATGGTTTTAACTAAACTTTTTGCGCAATAATTTGAGAATCTGTTAATGTTATAGTGTACTATTATTTGGTGTGTTAACTTTAACTATGAGATGGATAAAATGTATAGTTTTAACTAACAAACACTTCTAATGTATAATATGTATGTGTGTGTGTAATGTAATTAAATGATATTATATACAAAAATTATAAACTTCAAAAGTAAAACAAAAGTGCAAAAGAAAAAGTTGAGAAAGCACAATTATTTCTTTCATTTAGATAGTATTTTTTATTTTTTATGTGTTTTGTTATTTCCCCCCCCCCTCTGTATATATATAAAACCTGCACCATGATGAGGTTGAAGATCATAGGTTAGAACTGGAAACAAAAATGAAGCAGTTCAATAAAATAAATAGTTGAAAATTCTTTGGTCTTTTTCAAGGAGCAGCTAAAAGATTTTAAACAGGTCATGTTTCTGAATCATATCTGGATGATTATAAATCAAAAGCAAATGGCAAATAAAAAAATTTTATAATACAAATAAAGAATGTAATAATCTCCTCCCCTTTTAATGAATCATCAAGATAAAATCTGCTCTGACATGATCCAAAACAAGAAAATACTGTATTAACATATTATTTATACTATACGTTATAATTTGTTTGTTATTAACATATATTTAAAAAATACTGTATTAACATATAATTTAAACAGTATGCTATAAGAATTTTTGAAATTAGAAACCAGAAAACAATTAAATTAGAAATAACAAGCTAAATTAATAATTTTCAAAGCTATTAAGAAATTAATACAAATTAAAAATAATTAAATTTGTAGAGACAAGATTTAACAAAATGAAACAGAAAAAAAGTTTTTCAGAATAGTAGGCAATTAGACTAAATTGTGAAATATTTCAACATGCAAAAAGCTTAAAATTAGGAAATTCTTTCAAGAGAATAATGACCAGGAAGAAAAATTAATTTAATGAGAATTTTTTCGAGAGATTAATGATCAAGAAATAGAATGTTACAAAAACTGAGAAGTCATTTTAAGTCCAAAGAAAATTCCTTCAAACGAAAAAAATTTATTCAAAATAATAAAAAATTTCAAAAATAATAATACTAATTCAAAATACTAATTTTCTCAGACTAAAGAAATAAGCACCTTAAAGTATAGTGGAGCAATGAAAGGTACTGTATCTGTACTGTGTAGTCATAGAGCTTTGTTTGCATATTTGTGCTCATAATCAGATGTGCCACTAAAAAATGGTATGTAGGAAACTTCATTTGCTTATTATGTCCCACTTTAAGCATTTTCGTCACTAAAAGCAATAAAAGTAATTGGTATCGTGTACAACTTGAAGACTTTGATATTTCAAACCATAATACAATACAAAGTCCAGAATCCAGACTCGTCAGTCAAGTCCTGATTCTGGATTTTGAAAATTTAGAGATGTTAAGGTTATGCAGCTAACAATCTAGTTTAAGTCTAATAAGATAGCAAGTAGAAATTATAAAAGTTAAAAATATGAAATAGTTGTTTATGAAGTAATAAAGCATTTATGACTTTAAAGGAATCAAAATTTATAAAAAAAAAGCTCAATATTTATTTGTTTTATTAAGCATTTCTTTCAGTGTAAGTTTTTAATTTTTATTTTAAAGCTGTTTTGTTTTTGTGCTAGCATGTAATATCTTGTTCGATTGCAAAGTTCCATTGCTCAAGCCTTGTAATTGCCATTTGAAGAATTCCAACTAAACTACCAATCAAAACATTTCATTCTCAAAAATAGCTATTGGTAGCTATACTTTTCTAGATTTAGAATCATACTACAGATTTCACTGTCCATTAGTTGTAACTGATTGGAACATTGTCATTCCAATTGAAAACTTCTGTTATATCATTATCATTTATTGTCTCTTCTCTACATTTTTTAAAAAATCCCATTAATTGGAAAATTTTACGTACAACAGTGATTGATATCTATGCCTAATTTCGAATTTGCCTAATATTTAATTTTGTCTAATTTTGGGAAAGTAATTAAACCCGAACTGCACCGATGCCTTTTCTTTTCCCCCCTCCCCCCTCACTAAGGCTGCTGCAAAAGGCAAGTGATAAATATGCTTTTGCTTTGCAGATTCTGCTATAGCTCCAAAATTAGAAAGTTTTTACCTTAATTTTGATAAGAGAACTGTAATAATAATAGCCTGCAAAAAATAATAAGCTGGATAAAATTAGTTAAAAAAGCTTGCAGTTTGCTTTGTTAACTAAATTTAATTTCTTTCAAATCTAACTATCTGCCTGTTATGTTGACAAAAGAAAATCAATATTAGCAACAGTCCACTTCAAATAAATAAGTCTTGGGACTTCACTTATTGTTAAGGCCAGTTAGAAAAATATTATCCCTCTCCTCCACCTCACAATCATTCAAGAGCCGAAAGTGTGGTCTTGGCTAACATCAATCAGTGTATTGTCATTGGCCACAACGATGTAATTCCCTGGCAATTGTTTAAAAGTGTCATACAAGAATCTTAATCAGAAGGAAAATCGCTTTTATGACACACCTGTTTTTTCTGGAACGTTGTATTCTCCATTCCTAAATATTGAAAGAAAAGAATTAATGCTGGCTGTCCATAAGTTTAGATGTTGGATGTCTGGATTTCAGACTTTATACTGTATATCTTTCTTTAATTAATTAATAACTTGCTCACTCTGAAATGATTGATCTCTAAGTAAGTCAAAGAAATGTTTTTTAAACTGCTTTTTTGAATTTGGACCTCATCAGTATAATCATAATTAAATTAATCAGGTTTTTTTATAACTGTGAATAGTTTATCAACATCAAATGTTTTTGCCAGATTTCAAGCTTTAACCAAGTAATCCACTTCCCTATTATGAGTCCAGAACTTTACCACATCTTTAGAAAGTAGCAATTATTCTATTTTTTCTCATAAACATATTCAAAAAATCTTCTCCACATCCACTGTGTGTAATGATGCAGTATTTCTTATTTATTAACCCATGTTGCTTCACCAAGACCTAATTACTCTTAAGAAACAGCTTGACAAGTGTGCTAAGCTGCTGCCTGTGTCACCTAGTTTGAAGTTGGGCCTGCATATTATAGCTCATTCTTTCTTTACCTATCTTTGATAACTTATAAGACAAAAATTTTAAACCACTGTGAACTGTGGATTATTAAAAGCACTGGTATGGGGTTATTTTACTAGTAAATAATTTTTTTTCTTTGTTTAATTAATAGGTGCTGGAGAAAGCATCTATCCCATGCAGTTATATTTATAGTAGTTTGGATCAAATGGCACGCAATATACATATTGCAAAATTTCGAGCAAAGAAAGTTGGTGTTTTGTTAGTGACAGACATTGCTGCCCGAGGAATTGACATACCACTTTTGGATAATGTCATAAATTTCAATTTCCCATCTAAACCAAAACTGTATGTTCATAGAGTTGGTAAGTTTTTTTTTTTTTTTTTTTTTTTTTTTTTTTTTTTTTCCCCCGTGTGCGTGTGTTCGTTTGCTTTCTCTCTCTCTTTCTCTCTCCCTCCCCCCATCTCCATTTCTCTAAATTATTTTCCAGATTTTTCAATATTCATTGTACAGGGTTATCCAAATTAAACTTCCCCAACTCAGAGGCCTGTGCAGAGGGTTGCATGGGTCATAATGTGATGAAATTTTAAAAAACAGACACTTCAGATCATGCGCTCGAGATTTATTAAACAAAAAAAAAAAAAAAAAAAAAAAAAATTAGTACAAGAAGTTGTTGATAGGTGGCGCTGCAGATAAACAAGACATTCTACAGATGTTCTATATGTGTGCCGTGGTTCTCCACAACTCTTTCATCGCAAAGCAGTGGGTTCCACAGCGGAACACAGTAAGTCCACATTAATTCCACGAACATGTCGAATAATTGCGTCTTTCAGATGTACCAAGGTTGCTGGGTGTTCTCAGTAGACCCGATCCTTTAAGAATCCCCATAACCAAACGTTGCATGGCGTGAGATCAGGCGAGCGCGGAGTCCATGCTGTAGGGAAACAGCGGCTGATCACACGTGCATCGGTAAAAGTTGCCCGTAACACTTGTTGAACGCCATGAAGAATATGGGGAGGTGCACCATCCTGCATAAATATCGTGTCCTGGAGGCGGCCACGTTGTTGCAGTTCAGGGATCACAAACGTTGTCAACATGTCCTGATACCATTTTCCTGTGACAGAGCAGATTTTGAACCCTGTTGGAGTCACCTCTTCAAAAAAATAAGGCCCAATGACGAATGTTGCAGTGAAACCGCACCTTTGGAGGGTTCAAGGGCACTTGATAGATTGCGCGCAGGTTTTCACTTGCCCAAATGCGGCAGTTGTGCATATTCACTTGACCATTCAGGTGAAAATGGGCCTCATCCGTCCAAAGGATGTTCCACGGCCAAGCAGCATCAACTTCCATTCTGGGAAGGAACTGCAACGCAAATGTTTCCTGAATTACAGGATCCCCGTCGGACAGCTGATGACAACTATGCATTTTGTAAGGAAAATAACTGAGGATTCGATGCATATGAACAGCACGAGAAACAGTTGGCACACTGACAACACCATGTGGCGATTGGCTAGTGGAGTCCACGACCACCAAAGCAACATCTTCTACGTGTGCAGATTCCAAAACTTGTCGTTCTCTACCTGGTAAAATTTTCAGCTGTCCCGTTCTTTCGAATTTCTTCATCATGTCTCGTAGAGCGCATGTTGTCATTGGTCCTCGGCGTAAGATCTTCGGCCGACAGAATGCTCTTATCGCAGCACAGGAGTTCTCGTCACTCTGGTGGAAAAGTTTCACTAACAGAGCTTTGTCTTTCAAAGTCGCCATTGTGCATCAGTGAGCTGGAAACAACTGCCTGTGCAAGACCTGTCTTCCGTTTTTGTAGGGCCCGTCTTTTGGATACGTTGTGCAAAAGCTTTATTTCTGCAAATCACGTTGCTGCAATATGCACATTACTAGTGTTACAGTGCCCCCTATCGGCAACTTCTTGTACTAATTTTTTGTGTAATAAATCTCGAGCACATGATCTGAAGTGTCTGTTTTTAAAATTTCATCACATTATGACCCATACAACATTCTGCACAGGCCTCTGAGTTAGGAAAGTTTAATTTGGCTAACCTTCTTATTGTACAAATTCAGATATGAGATGAGAAATAGTTCATTGACTTGTTAAGTTATTATTATTTTTCTCATTCTAAATGACTTCGGATAATTTATTGCTGTATCAGCCTTAAAGAAATTTCTTTCTACATTGTAATGGATTATTCTTCTATTTATTGTTTCTCAAATGCAGCTAAGAATTAAAATGTTTTAATGAAACTTCAAATTGTTAGTAAGATTAATCATGGCTGAGTGAGAAGTAAATAAATGTAAATAAATAACTGGAGATATAAGGAATTGTAAGGCTCATAAAAAATATGCAGACATAGTATTAGAGGTTCAGTAAATATAGTGAATATTATAATTTCTATTTAAAGAAAAGATAGATCTTGGTTCAAAAAGAACAAATTAAGTGCAGTTTTTTGGGAGAAGAGTATATAGTAAAATTCTGTTTAGTTACTTAGATGCATCATTATGTATGCTTCATTGTGCTTTTACAATGCTCTAATTGCTTTATTCCATACAGTCTGTATTTTTACTTCTTTGTACAAGCTAGTTTTACAAGATTGTCTAATATCAGCTGTTTAATACTTAATTAGATATCAATAATATTTAATATTTATAAATTTATATCCACATTTACTTTTTGCTGAACAGTATTAAAAAGCATGGATATTAAATTTCAATTGTGGATTACAAGTAAATTTTACATAATACAAAGATTTTGTTGTATTTAACTCAAAGCATGACTGCATGCTAATAATGTCATGCATAATAAAATTTCATAAATCAAGTGAATTGATAATTTCTGAAAGTTTGTTATTAAGACTTTTTTTCTCATATCATAGCTGATATATAATACATTTTGAATTTGCACTTTTAAGTCCCTTAATTTTGAAATTCAGATTATTAATTTCAGTGTCGTAAATATCAAAACATTTAAAAATTGTTGTATTTTCATGTTAGTGAACATTTGGTTTGCTAATAATTTTTCAGCAATTTATCTTCATGTATCAAATAAGTTATAATTAGTGCTTCTTAATATTGAAAATTGTTCGTAACATGAATATTGTGTAATTGTTTTTATGTGTACTTTATTAGTAAAATATGTTTTTAGGCAGGGTAGCAAGAGCTGGTAGAAGTGGTAAAGCATTTTCTCTTATATCGTCTGATGAAATGCCTTACCTTCTTGACTTACATTTGTTTCTGGGGAAACCAATCAAATATGCCAAGCTGAATATGGAAGATGAAGGTGACAGTAAAATATGTTGTTTTAATGATCCTGTTTTATTAAATTATATTTGTTAAAAAAAATGACTTCTTTATATATGGAAAGAAACTTATTGTATTTATTAAACTTCTAAGTCATACTCTGACTGTGTCAGATTGATGGAGACATGATTATGAGTAAATAACAGCTGTTTAATGACAAATGCTAAAGAAACTTATTGTATTTATTAAACTTCTAATTCATACTGTGTCAGATTGATGGAGACATAATTATGAGTAAATAACAGCTGTTTAATGACAATTGCTAAAGAGCATATTTGATCAAAACAGTTCTTAATGTTAAATAATCAAATAATATTTATAAAGTTATCTTATTGTGATATCTTGAAGTATTAAAATTCTTAAATTTATTTATTGAAACTGTATGAAGATTTAAATTTACAGTATATTAAAAGGATCAATGGTTTAACCTTGGAAATTTTACATGAGCACACGCACGTCGTATTTTTTACGACATCCGTTATTTTACAGTTTTTGATGCAAAAAACGACAGAAATGAATGAATATTGATAATAAATTTGTTAAGAAATAAAATATTAATCTTATTGCAAAATACAAATGATATCACATTCAAATATAAGTAAATTATTTTTAAGTTCTTATGTTAGTGAGATGGAAATGCAGTGATGAATTTTATTATGGAAAATTTTAAATTTATTATTTAATATTATATTTTAAAATCGAAGCTAATTTTAATATTCATCAAAGACAAGTATAGACAATAAAAAGGAAAAAACCTTGGTAAGAAAAAAGTAAATTTAGCGTTGCTTACTTCTGCAAGGAAATTTACTTCTTACTGGTTACAAAAACGCACTTTAAACTAACTTTAATGTTTTTATTTATTTTTAAAAAATAGAAATAAAGGAAAATAAGGAATGGAAATTGCTATTGTTCGCCCATCCAAAGGTTTCCTTTTCTTCATCGGATAATTCTTGAAGAATCCAAGCAAAATCAGCTGGTTGCACATATTTTTTTGCCGTGAAAACCGATATAAAATTTACAGAGCCAAATGTATTCAAATTAAAATAATACACTGTAATTAATAACACAAAATTAAAAAATATTTTCCGAATTTTTAACTTTTATGAAAAAGCTGCCACGTAGCACAAAAGCCCAGTTAAAAAAAAAAAGTCAATTGACTTTCTGTTGGCACATTTCATGATGTGGGGAAGGGTAGAAAGGAGGAATAGAAATGAACTTCAGATGTCTCAGCTTCGATATGTGAAAAATGTGCATTAAAAACTGAATTTGTCATAAATTTTGCACATATGCATGTGCTGGAAGGTTAAAATAGGAAAGTTTATGTAACAGCATTCAAGGCACATGTCATATGAAACATGATCTTAAGTTTTTTCCTTAATCTGTTTGTGCATTGCGTGCATGTAAGAGAAATGTTGTGTAAACAATTTTATTCTTCCTGCAGTAAGTTTCTAAATTACTGTATCCTAATCTCATTAAGACTTGTGTATTGTATGTAAAATATATGTGATTTTATACTGCTTTGTAAGGACCCGTATTAGTTTTTAATGTATTTTCAAGATTTTGCTATTACATTTGAATTTAGTGGAAAATATTAAACTTTTTAATTTTCATCTCAATAATGGTGGATGACACATTGCTTTATTGTTAGAGAGGAACTTGTGTATAGCTTTTATCGTTTGTTAATTGAAAATTCATTGGAAATTGTGGCTTTTGATGTGAACCAAAGTATATGATATCTGGAAAAGAAAAAGAAACTCCAAATAAAAATAATTCTGCATAAATCAGAATTTGCTGTTGTAATATTTCATTCTCATTTTTGTGTTATCATGCTTCTGATGTTTTGCTCTAATAAAATTATTATATAAACATTTTTTATTTCATTATTTTATTCTAAGTGGATTTCATAATTAATTAATTTTATCTTTTTAGATGGAATTTGTGGTGCTGTACCTCAAAATATAATTGATGATGAAGCAGATGTTTTACAAATATGGCATAGAGCATCCGTTGAGCTCACAAATATGCTAAAAGTCACAAAAAATGCTTATCAGCAATACCTGAAATCTAGACCAGCTCCTTCCTCTGAATCTGTCAAACGCATGAAAGAATTTCCATTTGCATCAGCAGAAATTCATCCTATATTCAAAGGTAATTTTAGTGTGTATTTGAGTTTAGAAATTTTTCAATTGAATAGTATAAATTAATAAAATGTTTTTTATTGTTTAGATGTTGTAATTTACATGCACATCAACTCGAATGAATCTGTTATACAGTTATGTGTAGCATTGCGTCAGCATTTCATCTTGTGTGTGATAAAGTTGTTACAGAATCTTTAATTACACAAAATATATTTTAGAATTCTATTTAAAAAAAAAAAAAAAAAACTGCAAATAAAATGAAACTTTCATAAAATGATTACCCAAGGTGTTAGATATTTTGGACCAGTGGTGGTTGCCAAGCTTATGAAGCTTTGGAGCTACTGTACTGTTTCTAAATCCTACTGTGAGCTACTAACCAAAAGAACTACCAGTTTTTTAAAAAAAAAGTCTTAGACTTATTTATTGGCTTTACTTGTAAACTTACATTTTTAGCAGATATGAAATTAATTTTAATTAAACTGTAACAAAAAGAACCTGAAAATGAAATGTACATAAGAAAGAAATTGATGTGTAGTCAGTAATAAATAACAAGAGTAATGACAGTTTTTTTTATCAGACTTCAATGATAAGGATGCAACTTTTTTTTTTTTTTTTTTTTTTTTTAAGTGTTGAGAGAGTAGGTAGTGGCTGTTATTCCAGTAACAGTTGTCCAAGTGTTCATCAGTGACTGTATTTCTGTACTTATTTTTAATAAATTTCATGCTGGAAAAAGAAATCTCGCACATATATGTAGAGCTGAATATCGTCTTCAATTTAAGACAAACTTGGACCAAAATTGGGTATTTTTCTTTAGGAACAATAGGCCAAATACTTGAAGGACAAGAGCTTGGAAAAAATGATTTAGCACAGTCATTTTCAACTATGCTGCCTCATTGTCTTCTTGACCTCATTATCTCCATAACACAAGTAGAGAATTTTTCAGCATTAATCTTTATAAAAAGCAATTTGACAAACGATTGGAATCCTTTTGAAATCTTGGAAGCACTTGAATTCACTACTTTCCTACGAACTAATACACTTGCATAGCACAGTAAAATTTTCCTTTATATGGGTAAAGAAGTAATCAGTTTTCCATTTCGAATGAAAGTATTTTGCTTTTTGCTTGAACACACCATACAGAATATACCTAGCTTGGTACCAATGCATAAATCAAACTATCTAAGTTAGCAAATGTCAAATGTACACATGAAAAACATAACGTGCACAACCTCACGCATATATAATCGACTATGAGATGAAGCTAACAATGGCAGTTGCCGTCAGCGTCAGCTCAGTGGAGGAATTAAGGTTAGCCAACCGGAATGTTGATGCAATCTACCAAAAATATTGTTCCTTTGAGCTATTAATAGTTCTCTGTTGATGGTTTGGTGATCACTGCTGTGAACTAAACCATTACTAACAGCTCAGAGGGATGTTAGTTTTTTTTTTTCTTTTGTAAATTTTCCATAATATAAGTGAAGATTAAAAGTAGTCTATTGATAAGGTGTGAACATGAGATCTTTCATTTATTTCTCATGATATGAAAATAATTTGTGCATTGTGTTAACAACAGGGTTGCCACGCTACCTGGAAAACTGGAGTCAGGAAATTCTAAAATTGACAAAAAAAGTCAAGGAATTTCATATGCTGACCCCTCTTCAAAAAAAAAAAGAACGAGTTTTGGTCCAATGTTGGAAACAATCACTTTCTTGGGGAATTATGTATCACATGGGCGTCGTTCTAGCAGCTGGCATAGAGACGATTTTTGCAGCTTTAATCAAATTGTCTTTTATAAAGGCAAAGCAAGTTTCCGGCAGCTTTGGTTTCTGGTAACTTTGAGAATCGAGAGACTGACATGTGCAGTGCATGCTAAATTAAAGGAAATACCCTCCCATTCTCATATAAAACAAAATCGGTTTAATCCTAGTATACGGTACACATGGGATTTGGCAACATTTTGAGGAGCACTAAACAGGTCATTTTGGTGTTGACGACAATTTTCAAAATCGTGTCAAGGCCATAGAATATACTAGGATTTTACCACAAAATCTTTTAAACTTTTTTTTTTAATAAATACCTTATTTGTCATTTTTCAGTAAAATTAAAAAAAAGTAATCAGTCATCTAGGTTAACCATTTAACTATATTCACCAAAATATTGTTAATTAATGTAATTCAAGTAATTAATTTTGTATTAATGTCGTTAGTACCATTTAATGTGGCTTCCTCCCTCTAAATTTATTTGTTATTAGTTAATAATACTTCTAAATTTCAGGCAGTTTTCTGTAGCATGATCCTGAAACTAATTCTAGCAGTATGATGACATACTATTACGAATTTAATGCACATATTTTTTATGTATGGTGCTAAATAAATACAAAGTACCTGAATTTGCTTTAAAATATCATTAAATATATTTCTATCTTTTGTTTAGCTGCAAAATGTCTGCAAAAAAAGACATTTTTAAATCCAGAGATTGGGCAGATTCTAATCTCAATCTTCAGTGGAAAAAAAAACAACTCCTATTATAGTTATGATAGTAATGCTTTTGGGATTATATATATATTATATATAAGTCAAATGTAATTGGCCAATTTTTGTGTTTTCAAATGGTACCATAATTAATTTACCTCTCAGCACAGCCAACATGCATTATGCAGATAGGCTGGGATTTTCTTAAAACACACCTGGAAAACCTGGAAAAGTCAGGGAATTTCATTCTCCTGCAAGTGGCAACCCTGTAACAAAAATGTTTAATAAATAATTCCACTTATTAATAATTTTTTCCTACAATTGTTATAGTAGATTTCTAATGTATTGATTTTGAAAGTTCTCTGTTTGTTGTGTATCATATTGTCTGGATCAAAAATAGAACTACGTTGTGATAATAAAATTTTGGAATAACATAGATTGTGGTTTTATATATACATTAGTTATTCCCCTACCTCCAAACAGCAGTGTTCTTTTTTTTAATGTCTTGATATTTTATTTTGTGTTTTCTACCTTTGACATTGTTTTATGTCTTCTAGCTATGCCACTTTACATTCATGAAACAAGTGTAGGCTTTTAAGATTAAATGAAATGTTTCCAGAAGTGGGTGGAATTTTAATTTGGTTTAATAGTAAAGAGTTAATTTTATTTATTGGCTCCAAGTTTACCATTAAGGTATTAGATTGTAAGGTAAAGATTTCAGAATTGGGCTTTCATTAACTTATTTATTATGTTATCAAGATTCTGTTTTATGTCTTCTATATATCTTTCTATATCCTGTTTTATGTCTTCTAGCTATGCCACTTCACATTCATGAAACAAATGCTGAAACAAGTGTAGGCTTTTAAGGATTGAATGGAATCTTTGGCTTTTATTAACTTATTTATTATGTTCTCAAGAATGCTTGTTACAGAGGCAGTTGCCATATTTGTTATATGCCATTCAAAAATATTTAATGTTCCTCTAAAGATAAATAATTATTTTTTGATGCTTCATCTTAGAAAGGTCCTCTAGTAACAAAATAGGTAATACGGATGAATATTAGTAATTTGTTCTGTTTGCATTAGCAACCAGGCTGGTTGCGTGGGATTTTTCTAGTTTTCTCCCTGTGTAATGTGACTACAAGCGGCCTTTTTTTTTTTTAGCCAGAAGGTTTTATACAAAAATAGCCCTTCCCCCTCTTTCTCCTTTAAGAGTATAACAGGAATATCGACCACTTTTACTCAGAAACTCCTTACAAAGGTATCCTTTTGTCATAATTTAGTTGACGGAACTGTGTCTTTCGAATGTGATTCAGAGTGCTCTATTTAGCATGAAATTCGCGTTTGAACATACACTCACTTCCAAAAGTTAAGCACGGAGAGAAAAATGCTAATTTCCGGAAGCCAGTCAGAATTGAAGAGGATGCTATTCGCTGCAAAGGTAGATGGAAGTGTGCAAATATGTTAGGTAACAGCCAATTGCGCTTTCATGTCAAGAAATATGCAAAAAAGGCAGTCTTATAAAAAGCCAGCTTTATGAAGGGTTACAGAAGTTGATTGTAAGTGCTGATAGAAGGTGTTTAAAACTTTCATACAATTTGTTTTCAAGACATACATGTTTCTATGACTTCCTGAAGACGGAATGGAAGATTCTGAGCACTGGCGTGCTGTGGGGCTCATTGAAGCAGGACAGTCAATCACAGATGTTGCTCTTTTATTCGGCGTCATCATTCTGTAATTTCACGTTTATGGAAACAATTCCAAACCACACGGACAGTTGTCCGAAGGCCCGTAGCCGGTTGCCCAAGGGTTACAACCCCCTCGGAAGATCGCTATATTGCTATTGTAGCCAAGCGGAAATGCAGAGCGACTTCTACACATGTGACATCTATGGTTACAGTGTCCATTGGTAAGGCGATATCTGCAGCTACTGTACACCGAAGATTACATATGAGTGGACTCTATGCCCAGGTACCTCGAGTTTGTGTTTCTCTATCCGTCCAATTAAGGGGGGCACAATTACAGTGGTACTGGAAACATGTCAATTGGAATGTGTTTGACTGGGGCAATGTCATGTTTACTGATGAGTCAAGATTTACTCTGGAGCCAGATGACAAGCGTATAAGGATATGGCATGAACTATGAACATGCAATCAGTAACAACATCACCAAACATAACGCATTCCGAGGCGGAAGCATTATGTTGTGGGCAGGGATTTCATTAGGATACCGCAACGACCTGCACATCTTTAAACGGGGTTCTTTGATGGCTGTCCGGTATCAAGATGAAGTCCTAGAACCCATTGTGAGATTGTACGCTGCAGCAGTTGGCCCTACTGTTGTTTTAATGGACGATAACTCACGTCCCCATAGAGCTGACATCGTCGATGACTACCCGGAGAGTGAAAGGATTGCGCTTATGGCGTGGCCAGCATATTCGCTCGACCTTAATCCCATTGAAAATCTTTGGAATGCTCTCAGCCGTGCTGTATCTTTACGTTTCCCACCTCCAGCCACTGTTATTGAGCTGGAAACTGGTCTACGAGAAGAATGGCGATTGCTTAATTCTGTGGTAGTTGACCATCTAATTGAAAGCATGGCCACAAGGTGTAAACTTTGTATACAGATGAGGGGGGATCACATACCCTATTAATGTCCTTTTTGTTTTCATTTTATGCAATTCATTTTCACTTTATACATAATTCTGTCAAGTCTCCAGTATGTCATTATTGGATAACTAACAAAAATTTAATATTGTTTTCATTTTTGTATGTAATTATTAATTTTGTTTTTATGCATAAATATATCTGCTACTTTCCTGCTGATTTTTCTGTCAATCAAAGCAGTATTTGTTGATTTTTTTGCGTTTTACATCTTCATGCTTAACTTTTGGAAGTGAGTGTAAATTGTGGTGTCTGTATCTTATTTAATATTTTTTAATGTTGTTTTTATTACATATGATCTGTTCCTCTACATTACTTCAAATCTTTGGAAATGTTTATTGTAGTTGCAGAAAATATATTTATGTTCTTTAACTTATGGAGCACTAACTCATAAGTCAGCTTTGAATTACACTTGATTTAACCCTTTGTGGCTCAGTGTTCCACTACATGGAACACCCAAATTGAATCACTTCTGAAACCTTTAAATTCAACCGTAAATAAATAAAAAAATGCCTTTATAATATACTTTGAACTTTTCTTTTTAAACAGTAGATAGCAGCATATCACAAGGAGACACAGAATTTTCATTTATTATGTGTTATTAAAATCCACCTTTTTTCAAGTAATTTTCTCTATTTTTTTAATGATATAAAAAATTTTATTTGAAAAACAATTTAGGCATAATATTACTGGCTGTACTCCAAATTATTTATTCTATATTTTTTTTAATCTTTCATTCAAAAACCATACGCAGAATCATTGAATAAACCCGGGTGTTCCATTAGCAGGAACACTGCGCCTTTAGCGATCTCATGCTGTTACGAATCAGAACCTCTGTGCTTAGGAGAAAACATCCGTTGTTTTGGGGGCCAAATGAATTCAAACAAAGCAGTATTGAGGGGTGAGGTGTGTTTTGTGTTATGAAAGCCCTAATATTGGCATCTGGAATTTTTTGGGAGTAGTTTTTAGGCGGGAATTTTATTAGTAGGTTGACTCATCTTTACTTAGACCTGCGCGAATTTTTTGCTGTCGCTTTTTAGTCTCATTCCCGTTTATTTTCAATGATTGTGTAGATATTTTTCATGTATGATATTATAGGCTTATTTTTCTTTATTGTTAATATTAATCGTAGTTAATTATTTTAAGCGTAGTTGGTTTGTGCTTCCATCAAAAACATGTGACTTGCTTTGAACAATTTCACGAAGCTAAGAAATAGGAAAATTTGTAAATATTTTTGTATATAGGACTTGTGTATATAGATATTTATCTCATTTATCTGTATATATTCAAGAATATTGTGTATATCCAGGAAACCATGTATACAGCCATAATACAGAGTTTTTTTCATTCTTATACAAACGCTTCTACTCATTTTCGTGCTTCACTGCAATGCTCACTTAGTCGCACTTTTAAAAGCTCTGGCGGCGCAGTGTTCCACCTCATGGAACACCCACAGAATTAAAACGGTAAGTGCAATTTTTACAAAATTTTACCTGTATACTTCTTTAGAACTAAATAGACTGCATACAACTTTTTTTTTTTTTTTTTTTTTTTTTTTTTTTTTTTGAAATTCTGATGTTAAAGTATAGTGCGCCACAAAGGGTTAAAGGCTTGAAATTTCTGATTCCCTCCCCAAGAATTTGATCTGAGAGTATTTCTCTTTAATTATGGTTAGAAGCTTCAGTGTTATCTATATTCTTGCCATTCCACAATTATTTAATTATTATCTCTTATCTTTTCGTAATTAGCGAGTTTCTGATCACTGGGACTAGTTCTCTCTTAAAGTATAGGCACTATGACCTTATTCTGACACTCCCATAAGTAAAGAGGCCCATATTTTGGCAAATTTATTATTATTATGGAGGGAGAGCTGTTATGGGTTAAAGCCCTAGAATAGAACAAAAGACAGGAGTCCCTGATTCTCTTCTCGCATCTTTTTAAAGTTGTACTGAACTGTATATCTACAGGAATTTACATGTGAGAATGTAACTTCTACATTTACTTAAAATGAATGATGCAAGGTGTATGACATGTTTCAGAGTATAAGAGAGGAAGAAGAAGGATTAATTATTTCTGATATCACTATGTCTTCTTGATGAACTTTTGTTTTTTCAAAATTTCTATGCAGTTTCCCTTTAGCATTTTTACAGTTATTTAATAATTATAACACAGATCAGTTTCATATATTTAATATAGCACCATGTGCATATGTCCAGCAGTTGACATATACGCATGGTGTTATATGATATATATATTGTGAAATTAATATATACATAAAGCATACTATGCTTAAGATCCATTTCTCTTTTACTTGAATATATTTTTATTTAATTTGGGAAGACTGCCTTGCATTTACTGGAATATAATGCAATAATGTTATAGTAATCATTTATTTTTTTCTTTGTAGATGATAACGAAGCAGAACGAAATAAAATAATAGCAGAAATGAAGAACTACAGACCTAATACAGTAAGATTTCAAAGCAATACTCTATCATATTTATAATCTGTGTTATATTATTAAATATTAATGTGTGATTTTTTAAAGCAGGAGAGATAAAAAAAATTAGCAACGCCTTCACCGGGAATCAAACCGCGGACCTCTGGAAAAAACGCCCAGTGTGCAGATCACCACGAAGGCACGCGAGGAAGCGGGAGAAATACCTTATATACTCCCCCTTTTAAAGGACAACTGGGGTTTTTAGGGGACCCAATCACCAAATCCTGGGTGTGGAGAATCATTTTTCTTCTTTTTTTTCTTTTGGGACATGGCTAGGTCAGCCTTTAGTCAATCTCCGTACTGCCTATCATGGCTATACGCCATAGGCTTGGTAAAATTAAGGTAACAGCAGATGTCCTCCATGCCAGCAGGCGAAGCAAGAACAGGTGCATAAAGCATGTATGTTGAAAATTTAGAAAAATAAATATCTAGTTGCTAAGTAGAAATCATCTGGGTGGAGCTGTCCGGGCTGTGAGTATCCTCTCCAAGTTGAAGAAAGGCAATTCGACGAGGCCAGTCACATGGGTGGTCACCCACCCAAGTACTGACCCTGGGAACTGCTGCTGGAAACAGTATGCCTGTAAAGTGGAAAAAGTTAGTTACAAGAAGAGAGAATATGCAGTTTCTTGTGTATTTAGCAGATTAATGTGTAGAGAATCATCAACCACCACCCTTTTAGTATGGGCACTCCTTGTAGAGACATTAGAATTTTTTAAAGCGGGAGAGATGAAAAATGAGCAACGCCTTTGCTGGGAATCGAACTGCTGACCTCTGGAATGCGGACCACTACACCAGGAATTTGGGAGAAATACCTTATAAATATTCCTCATTAAAATTATATGCATAAGTACATACGTGGGAAAAAAAAGTATTAAACATGACTGACTTTTAATGTGCATGAAGCTGCAGTGCAGAGAAATCCACACTACTAAATACTTTGCTTTTACTTTGAAAAACAAGTTTAAAGCTATATATATATTATAGAGTGAAAGAGAATCGAGTTTTGATTAACTGATCTTCAATAAGACTGACAAAGTTGAAATGTAGAATTTGAAATCGGTGTTAATTGTTCTTGGTGAATGAAATTTTACCCCCCCCCTTTTTTTCCCCTTTCCCTTTGCTGCTTGCCATAAATCAACAGCATTGGAGTGTATGGAAGTGTCTTAAATGTTTCTACCTTATTTCCCTTAGACAATATTTGAACTTGGACCACTTGCAAAAACACAAGCTAATGTAGTCATGCGACAGAAGAGGAAGTCTCATGATGTGCTTTTAAAACCTAAAATATATTCTTCTGCACCTCTTGTAGAAAGTAATGAGGAGTCTAAGAAGCAAGTCTTTGAAACTGAAGAAGAAAACTATTTATTGGTAAGTAAACTCTTGTGACATTTTTATGGCTGCATTTCCAAAGTTTGGTTTTTCCTCACAAAATATTAATAATAAAATCAATGCACCATAAATTATAAAATAAGTTGCTGTAGTTTCCTTTGTCTTAATTATCATATATTCATTTGGGTTATTACTATGATCCAAGAGTTGAATTCCATGTTTCAAAAAAACAGAGTTTCATACAGATATCCTTCTAATGCCTGCGTACTCACATGGTATATTACTCTGGGCATCATGAAGGTAGGAAGTAAGATGGAGTGGCCCTAAACCAGTTTCCTCCATACACTGCTTTCATGCACTGGCTATCCCTTCGTGGTGACCAAAACATTGGGTCATTTAGCATTAACTTCAATGGGTTTTGATTTGATCGGATGTAAATATTTTGTAATTACGTCATAAATGTGCATATAGATGTAAATATTTTCTTTTTCTACAATACTTCAGAGTCGTAAGTATATGTAAAGTATACATTTTTAAACAACATTGTGTTCTGAATGAAATTAAATGCTATACTTTTCACAGAACAGTTTAATTTGAATGAAATATTTCACAAGTTTTCTTTAATTACATTAGAAACAATTTTTAACATAATTCGATTTTATTCTGTTAAGGATGACAAAAATTAGGATCAAAGTTTATTGTATTATTAATATTAAAATTATGCATTATTGCTTTTCTATTTATAGATCTTCTTCCTAAAATACTTTCTCAAATATGACGATTTTTTTAGCTTCTGAGACATCTTTTAAATCGAAAAATCTAAGTCAATTTATGATTAATGCTCTATTTGGTCCATTTCAAACTAGAGCACCTTTTATTTTAATAGCAAAATATGTTAAATAGTACTTAACTTTCTCTGAATGTTTCTGAAAGGGAATAAAAAAAGGGGGTACTATTCCGTTTTGAGGACCTTAAAGAAATTGCAGCGAAAATATATGCAAAAAGATCGCCAAATCTAGCAAACGAGCCCATTTAACAGCGCGCCAAATCTAGCGTTCGCGCTGATTTCAGATTGCGGAAGTTGATATAGTTCTATATTTCTTAAGACGCCATTGAAATACTAGTTTAATTTTTAAATCCTTTTTTGATATCCTATGGATTTAACAATTTGGGAATTGCCCATGAAGAAAAGTCGGCAGTAGAATTTTGGATAAAGTGCAGAATCGCCCACTGCTTGACGCGTTTTTAAGAATTCCACATACTCAGTATCCATATACACATCGACCTATTTTCACTTAAAACAAATCCCAGAATTTCACAAAAAGGGCACTGCGCACACCCTTGACTTTATCTATGTACACATCGACCTATTTTCTCTTAAAAAGTAAAAGAAAATTGACAAAAATCCAGTTGTTTTTACCCTTATAAAAAGTAGCAAACAAATAAGAGGGCGATTCTGCACTTTACCGAGAATTTTTTCAAAGAAAAAGCATCATTTATTATATAAAATTATGTTTGAACAACCAATGAGATGAAATTATGCTTTAGCGATAACTCGGTAGCGAAATAGCGATGCAGGCATCCATTCAGTTATGTTTAGCAATTTTTATATAAATTATAATAATAAAAATGTATTATATGAAATTAACCTTTCATCTAAATTAAAACATCAATCTTAGATAGTTATTTACTATTATACTTCCTTTCTTGCATTAGGGTTGCCCAAATTATTTTTGGCAGCACTGGCATCAACAATAGTTTGGTGATTTTACGGCCCTCAAAAACGAATAGTACCAAAAAAGGTTTTATTTAAATAATATTTAAAACTTGTAACTGGGTTATTATAAAATGTAAGGGGAATAATTCTTTTAATTATACTTATCAGATTTGTTTACCCTTAATTTCAACAATACATATTCTAAAACTCTTCTACGCATCTCATTAAGTACGCATCTCATAGAATTTGCTTTAAAATACCTTTTAACAGATTTGCTTTCCAGTACAAACAATTCTTGCTTAAGTGGTTTTATAACGTATTTGTCGACAGGATCTCCATTTATGTTTACAATTCAGTGTTGATGTTATTATATATTTAGATAATATTTATAATCATTATAAATTTAGATTTCTTCATAGTAACTTTCACAGGTGTTTATGAATAAATAAATCCTTCATTTCAAATGCATATATAAATAATTTAATAAATATTTATGTATTTTTATTAAAGGCAGATGCATGCTTTTTGCAAGCATATGAATAAATACCCATACATATTTCATATTTTTCTTTTCCGGCATGTGCAAATCTTTAATTTCTGTGCATTCACTATATTTTTCGAGTAAAGTAATTTACAATGATTTAGCATATACCCGAAATTTTTACATAAGAAATGTGTATAAATATAATTTGAATGAATATTACCTGCATTATTTTTAATACCCGCTCAAAGGTCAGTTTTTATTCAAAATTCCTCCATTCTCTCTCCCTTTAGGCAGATAACCCTTACTCTATTTAATAAAAACTTAACTGACCTATGTTGCCTAATTACAAATATTTTAACATGAATACTTTTATATTTACATTTAGCCATCAAGTTTCAAACTTTTGACTTAAAACACGTTTTAGGATACATTCATCATCAAATTCAGATCTCCTAGTGGATTTATTTTGGCGGAGCACTCAATACCTCTTTTAGCAATTTTACACAGTTTACTAATTATCTGATAATATAATAAATAATAACTATCAAGGAAAAGTTAACTTACTGGCATATATGTGTGTATATTTATTAATTTTAATGAGGATTGCAGCATTTGGTGGTAATTTTATTTTTTACTTAACCCAAATAAGTAAAACATGTAAACCCAAAGTGATTATTTTTAAGTTATATAAAAATAAAATGGTAAGTTTAAAATGAATGACTGTAAAGCCTCTCCTCTAAAAATTTTTAAAAATTACAACTCACAATAATATGTGGATGACGAAAAAAAGTATTTTATTTGGAACATAAAATGTTTAAATACTTTTAAAACTCCAATTGTATATGACAGTTTTACATGTAGACTCTAAATTAATAAATTTTCTGTAGATCATAAAGTAACAAAAAACTCCTTTAATTTTTTACAGTATTGTTATATATATGTTAAGTCTCTTTTTGAAAAAAAAAATTAATATATTATGACTTATTATTGTAGTATTTTTCCTTAAAGCATTATTTCTTTATTGTGCTTTAATTAATATCCAAAAATAAGCATTTGTAAATTGATGTATATTTTATTGTTTCCAAAATGATGAGAAAAAATATCTTTTAAAATAATAATGGAAAATAATTTAATATAAATATAACTAGAATCATATAAGTAGTTCATTTTGCAACATTTTGATTGGGAAAAGACAAAAGTGTTTTTTTTATGAACTATTGATAATGTCTGCAATGCAAAAAAGTTCATTATGAACATTTCATAACATTTCTGGAAATTATTTGGCCAGTGCTGTAACTCTAAACTTAACACTTGAACAGCATCACTCACCTTTAAATTAGGCAAAAAAATTAGCCATAAATTGGCATAGATGTTGTCTTTGAATTTCTTCCCAAAGAAGGACTTCTGTTTGACGTTTTTTGCCTAGTTATAAATGGTTGACTAAAATCAAAACAAAGATGTTTGTGATTTAATCCCTTACTTTTTGACATTTCTCTGTCACTTGGTAATTTTTGTAATCTGTTTTAGCCTTGTTTGGTGACTTATTTACCTTTTATTTGATGTTGATCACAATAATCAAAGTATTTTTCATGTTTTCATATACAAACAAATTGGACTTTGGTAGTTCGATAACAATTACTGAATGTTAACTTAGCTAGCTATCAGAGACAAATATGAACTAAAAATAAATCATTCTGAACTGAACTTTCATATGAAGCACATCTCATTTGCTCTCATCTTCTCTGTGCAGCTAGATTGCCATTGGTACTGTTCTTGCTGCAATATTTTAATTTAAAAATGTAAAATTCATTCAATAACAAGCACTTGTAGTGCCTGTTTATTAATAGTGCATTAAAAGTGTTTTTTCAAGAATAAAAAGTATTCAATCTGCCGTGATTGCATCAAGCTCTTAATAAAATAAATTGTCGTTGTTAATATCTCAGCCACCATCATTTAAATTATTTCATATATATATTTTTTTAATTTTCCTCAAGAGCTATAAAATTATTTATAATGCATAGTAATGCATTAATTATTTCTTAAAGTTAATTGAATATATAACTGTTAATTTTTCAGAGCCTTTCTCAGAAACTTGATAGAAAAGATAAAGTAAAAAATGCAAAAAAGAAGATTGGTAATTACAGAGATACTGAACATTATTTATCATATATATCATCAGAACATTACAAAGAAAAAGGGTAAGCTTATATGACTTATGAGTTATCTAATGCCATATGTATTTAAAATCAAATTTATATCTGTGTCAGATTCTGAAAAGTGCTATTATATAGGGCAGTTTTTTTAATATGTCTATTTCTTTACTTTTTTCAAGTATTTGCTGTAATTATTTACTTTGTGACTATAAATTAACTCAGAAAAAAGTTGAAATAATTTGGTATGTGCATTAATGGCCCATTGGTACATGCATTAATGGCCCGTATGAAATTGCTTAACTGAAGCTGATGTGATGTAAGTCTGTCATTTTAAAGTCTTATCAAAGAAAATTTTCCTTTTCCTGAGGGAAACTGGCTTGTATACACATTACAAATGAGGAAAACAACTACAGTCAAAAGTCGTTAATCCGGACTCGTCGGGACTTCGGCGATTCCGGATTATAGATCATCAGTTTAAATCTCGTAAGATGGCATGCAGAAATTCTAAAATTGAAAATATGAAACCGTAATTTATGAAATAAAGAACAATTATGATCTAAAGGGTATCAAAATTTTAAAAAAAAAAAAAAAAAAAGCTTGATATTTATTTGTTTACTTTATTAAACATTTCTTTCAATGTAAGTTGTTTAAGTTGCTTCGTTTTATGTGATAATACTTTCTCTTTAATTCTATAAACAGACATAATTTCTTGTTCAGTTACAAAGTCCCGCTGTTCAAGTCCCGTAATTGCTGTGCCGAGAATACCGACTGACTTGTCAATCGAAATTTTTTCATTTTCACTAACCTCTCTGTCACTTTCTTCATGTCTTTATACATTTTTTGCAGCAATTCCACTTTTTGTTTGATGGACATCGAAACATACTTTCGTTTTGTAAATCCTTTGGGAGCTCCAGCATCAGAAAATATTTGACATAATAGAAAGTTCAAGTTTGCTTTTATAAAATTGCTCTTACAGTCTGCAAAAAATAATAAGCCGGATCCAATTCAAAGATTAAGGAATAACGCAATCATCAACATTAACTGAAATAGATAATTAGATAATTTTAGCTTATACCGTCTGTTATACATTAAACGCGCACGCGAAAACGTATTCTGCGCACACGCATATGCGCAGCCGTAAAGGTCTTACACGCATGCGTAAACGCCTATGCGCATGTGCAGAAAGTTTTTAGCTTTGAGGTCCGGATTATGTGTGTCCGAATTAACGACTTTTGACTGTATTTGCCTGGAATCGAATCCCGATCAGAAGAACTACCGGTGTTCAACAGCTTCACCATTCAGCCACTAGTGGGCCATTCTCCAGGAAAGAGTGATTAAACCTAGAATTTTAACATGAGGACTTTTTTGTGGTCAAAATATCTAACAAGGATCAGAAACAACTTTAAATCTTTGTGATCTGAAGTATGTGTGTAAATGGTCATCAATTTTTTTTAATACTTTAATTTTTGATATTCAATCTGTAGACCTAAACAACTGATTGTGCATGATCATGTGGAATAAAAATACTGCTTCAGTCAATGCAATGTGCCATTTCTTCTCATCAAATTCGTTTTTGCAAAAATGTTGCCTAACAATATAGGAAGATGCTGTTTCTTAATTTGCCTTCATAGTTTTTGAGTGGGGGACTCAATGTGTCATGTATGTGTTACCATAAATAACTGAAAATGTTGAATTGCATCCAATGTAGCGAACATTAGAATAAATTTTCGTTTGTTTTATAAAAGAAAATATTTTTGCCATGCAATTTGCAACTTCTTTCCTTGCTCAATATTTGGAAGAATTCTGAAAAAATTTAGTTTAGGAAATTTTAGTATTTGTACTAAAAAATTAAATCTGTTACACCTTAACAGGAGAAAATACAGTTTGTTTTCCTAACCTCTAAAAATGCTTACTGTAGCACTTGATTTAATTGATGAGATGTATGTATTTATAGGTCATAGTAGTTGAAGGACTGAGTTGTTGACATCGAGCATACCTAGTCAATGCAATCGGTCTGGTGGCATGGAAAACAGATGTCAATGAATGTGTGTACATCATCTGAGAGCTCGTGAGAGAATGAAGAACTGTTGGCCTCTGCTGTCATTTGTCTGTCTGTTAAGATGCTGATTCCTGACCATATGGCCACAAACATATACCACATCACCAGTGCAGATGAAACATTACACATATTAAGGGATTACTTGAGCTAAATGATTTATTAGTGCCATGTGATTGATGTACAACAGAAGGATAGACTAAGTCAGTTTTGGGTTCATTGAAAAGTTCCATGCTGTCCTCACCATGACAGCATGCTGGCATATTGTCAACACCATCACCAGTATGTCACTCCCCACACATAAAAATATGCTTCATAATAGCATATCATTATATGCCCAATGCCACCAGTACAAGCTTCCAAAAATAATATGATCCATAAGTGGAATACTTTAGCAACTAAATTTATTTTAACGAATCTTTAATTGCTGGACTCCTATCCATGTAGAACACAGAGCTGGAATCTGAAACAAATGGTCACCCTACCTATGTGGATCAAATTTTCAAATGGTTTTTTATTTTTTTTTCCCCGTGGGTTGAATTACTTTTCTTTACATGTTTTGTTTTTTAAACTCGGTATGTGTAAAAAGAAAATTTTTAAGCTTTTTACTTCCTTGTATGAAGTAAAGGAATGTATTGTAATTGTGAAAATTTTCGGTTTTCAGTTTTCAATGAAAATATTCATTCTGAATTTTTTTTTTAATGACATCTGTATATACAGACAGAATAAAGGACTGTTTATTCCAAAATGGAGTATCTCATGTAATTAAAAAGCGATTAGTCATAGAATGTTGAAATTATGGGACTGCTATAAAATCTAGTTGTGCATCTCTCTTCTTATCAGCAGTGCCAGAAGGGCACTTTGTTGGAAGGATTTTTTAATATTTCATGTAATTCAAGACAGTTGGCTGTAGAATGTTGAAATTTTATATATGGGACTTCTATAACATCTGGTTATGCACCTTTCTGATTTTTACTTCCTTGTACGAACTAAGGTGTTATAACCATGAAAATTTTTTGGTTTTAAGATTTCAATGGAAATACTCGTTTTCCAAATCCATTTTGACTAGTTTCGTCGTGATGTCTATGTGTACATATGCCGTATAACTTAAAAACTGTTTGCCGTAAAGTCTCAAAGTTTTCTGTTTGGGACTCTTATAATAAATATCTTGTTAGATATCTCTCTTTTGGGCTGCAATCGGCAATGCCAAAAGGGCACATTACTGGAAGGGTTTTTTAAACCTAGTAAAAACATGTTAAAAATGTAGATTAAAATATAGTAACCTTCCAATGTTTTGTTTTTGTTTTCATTTTGTTGGTGGTTACATCACGATAATTTTAAAAGCATAGTATTAGATAGATAAGACTTACATTTATTTAAAGAGCTAGGGCTTTTACTTTATCCTAATTTATTCAGGTAAGATTGATGAATAAATAACTGTGCAAATATTTGATGTTAATAAAAACTAATATTTTAGCTGGTGTAACTGCCCACTTTGTTAAAGAAGTAGAGGATTGTATCTCACTTTCAAATGAAATAAGTTAAAGTGAAGTGCAGCAAAAAAAAAATTTTTATTATTTAATGTGTTTCCACTTCAGATTTAAGCTTGTTTATAGTTTTAATGCTATAGTTCTTTTTTTTTTTTTTTTTAATTATTATTATCCCTCTCACTACTTACTTCGACCTGTAGGGGTTGGACTGATAAAGACGCAGAGTACTTTGACTAATTTTGTAAGATTATGTTAAGTATTAAAGTCTAATTTTTAATTTGTGTCTGTTAGTTCAAAAACAGGCTGATGTTCATTGCACCAACCCACAGATGTTTGATTTTGCAGTGAAAGATGTAAATTTATCTGTTCCTTTTTCATTTTGGGTTTTAACATTTTTTACACCTTTCATGCAATTTACCACCATGCTTTTGTTTTGTATTATTTATTGCATATGGCTTATTTCAAATCAAATATGGGATAGATTTTAAGCATATTAATTTAATTTAAATTATTTTGCATTATTACCACCACTTGATGCTGGTATCAGCTGGATTAGGTTTTGAATTGCTTTTGACTTTGTATTTAATGGTTTATATATATATATTTGAAGAAATCCTATGTATATCCTAAGTCACGCTTTTGAGACACGAAAAATGCAATTTAAATTTCGACAATCGGTCCAGAAGAACGGAAGGTATAGAACTGTTCCTTTTTTTGTGTGTGCAAGATGTACTTGAAATCTTTTTCTTTTAATATACTGCTTAATTTCTTGAACATATTTCAGTTGTGTGCCATATTTCAGTGGTTTCAGGGGAGAATTAAAATGCTGTTGATCATAGGCATTGATGGTCCACTTCTTAATATAAAACATTTTTGTATTTTACTCCTGTAAGATATTTACAGACCTGAGTGTCCAATGAATTTTAAATTCCTGCTGATCTACGCATGCTAATTTCCACATCAGTAACAGGAACTGATACCCATGTTTTCTAAGATATCTGAAGAGTAAACTAAAGACTCTTTATTTGTATATACAACTAGCTGGTGACAGGTCTGAGAACTGCTTTAGTGGATGCTCATAATTGTGCTGTTCTAATAATATTTAAACTGTAACAATGGGTGATCCATTTGGCTTCTCTCTGTTAATAGTGGGATTTATTCCCATAGAAATTTCTCAAGTAGAAAAACAGATATGTTTGCCTTTTAAGGACTTTTTTATTCAAAAACTTAACAATTTATTTGACAGATTAAACATCTCAAAAAAATGTTACATTTTGAACTTTATACATCAAAAACGTTTTAGCACATTTAGTGCATCTCTGCGTAACCAAATCAAGAACAGTCCAATCTCTCCATGCTTCAAAAACAAGGAGTCCCCAGTTGAAATCATTCATTCTTGAACCCCCTTTTTCATTCATTTAACTGGAATGTGGAAGGAAAGGACTTAGCAAACTTGATTTCAGGTCCACACACACACCAGAATGAAAACTGTTTACTATTAGCAAAATTTGTAATGTTACACTGAGTATAATGTATTTTGAATACAAAGTCATTTTTATTTATTTATCTCTGAATCATTTTGTTTCAGATTTTAGTAGCATATTCTAGAAAATTCTTATAGCTAGAACTGATCAGCAGTTAATAGATTGGTTGGTTAAATAAACTGCATTCTTGTTAAATAAAATTTAATGTAAATTTTTACCCCCTTGAAAGTATCTACGCAGATAAAATTAAGTAAGTGATGCTTAATTAAATGCACTTTCATTTTTATATAAAGTAATTGGATTAGAGTTTGTTTAAATTGAACATGTATTATTAAATTATTTTATTTGTATTAAAGTTATTTTTGGCAATCTGGTATCTTGAGTATGTTTAATGTAGGTCATGTTGATTTATGTTAAATTTTAAATACATCAATTTAGATTGCAGTAAATTTTCATGTGTGTTTGAATTTGGGATATATATAAAGCATTTAATTATTTACGAAACATGAAAGTACAATTTTGGGTTGTTTTTATTTGTAGTTTGGGCTTAGATAACAATTTTGAGCATCAAGCAGCTGGAGCTGTGCTAGACCTGACAGGAGATGATGAATTAACTTTACAGAAAATGAAAAGTACTATGCGTTGGTATGATACATTTTTATATTTTCATATTGCAAAGGTTGTCTGTATGGGGATTTTGCCATATAAAAAAAATTGTATAATTACAAAAATATCTCTATAATAGTGTCTCCTTTAAATTTTTAATTGTTTACTTGTTGTTAAAGACTTATTAATTGTTAAAGAATCTGCCTTATTCCAGTACACCCCATCTTTGCTAACTGACTTCTCCATATCAAATTATTTAATTCAGTCCAGAAAAATTCGTCCTTTCATTTGAAGTTCAGTAATCTGCATTAATCTTTTATTCTTTAATTGTGAGGTATGTTATTTAGTGCAATAGCTTATGTTTCGAGCAGGTTTTCTATGGAGGTGTTTTACTTCGTCTGTCATGAAATAATTTCTTGAAATTAAAAGCACTTTTAAATATTTGACCCAAAATCAAGTTTTCATTAAATTTTTGTTAAATTTGTGAATTTAAACTAAACTCAGAGGTGCAACAGCCCTAGTAGGCCATGACCTGCAGTCCTCTTTTTCTGCTTTCTTGACCTTTGGGCTCCGGGGTGCATCAATATATGCCCTGGGCAAGTGGTCAGCTTGTTGCAGGCCCCCCAGTGTTTAGTTCCCAAGCAAACTCGATACTCATTTTATCAATCCACTTGAGGGATGAAAAGCTGAGTCAACCTTGCCCAGCCCGGGGACTGAACCCTGAACCTGTGGTGCAACTGGGCAACGCGCTAAGCCACTGTGCCACCGGACAGTCGCTTTCTAGACCGTGCATGAGCATCTAGATGAAAGGCTGAGTCAACCTTGCTCAGCCTGGGGATCGAACCCCGAACTTGTGGTGCACAACCCGCTAGCCATTGCGGCACCGAACCTCAAATTTGCGAGTTTATACAGCTGTATACTTGTTTTACATTGACAGTCTTTGGTATAGTATTTGTATATCAATTCTAGGTAAATTATGTATGGTAAAATTCCTCCAAGATTAATAGACTATCGTCAACTAGCATAATTGACTGAGCAGATAATTTTTAACCTTTTAAAACAAGCAAAATAAAAGCCAAGAACCTTTTCTCCTAATCCTTTCTGTGTGACAGGATTTAGTACTAAAGCATGTGATAGCCAATAGGTACAAGCGTTACAAGCAACAAAGTTTTTTATTGATCCATTCCTGTGCGAGAAATATGTAAATATCATTAAAGTGCTGAATTTCATTATGTTAAAAAAGTTTTGATAGAATCTGTATTTTTTATTGTATTTTTAGTATAAAAATAAATTGAAAAAGTGTTTTTAGTAACTAAACTTTTTTTTTTTTTTTTTTTTTTTTTTTTAATAATAGTAATTTTAGTCTGAACAGTAAATGATAATATTCAACTTTATTTTAAAATATAATTTTGTTAATCAAATTTGAAACTCATACATGCATTATGCTGCATCACCTGCATAAATTTTATTTACTGATTAAACCCATTACATTAATTTTAGTTATAGAACTTTTACTAATTTAGTGAAAAATAGCGATTTAGTATTCACTTCAGTGAATTATCCATATTTTGCATTTTAAAAATGAAGTTAATATCTTAGTGTGATTTTACCTTGATAACTTTATGATAATTAGTTAGGCTTTGACTTCTTCTTTTTGTTTTGAATATAATTATTATTATAAAACATCTTATACATTAACATTTCTAATAGCACTGACCAATTATTGATATAATGAAAATCTGATGTTTGATTGTGGAAGATTCAGTAAACTGTAAATGTTTTATATTTTTATAATGCTATTCAGTATTTTAATTTGTCTTCATAGTCTGAGAGTGATAGATTGTGCTATTATCAATCTTAATGTGATTTTACCTTCATAACTTTATGATAATTAGTTAGGCTTTGACTTCTCCTTTTTGTTTTGAATATAATTATTATTATCAAACATATTATACATTAACCTTTCTAATAGCACTTACCAATTATTGATATAAGGAAAATCTGATGTTTGGTTGTGGAAGATTCAGTAAACCGTAAATGTTTTATATTTTTATAATGCTATTCAGTATTTTAATTTCTGTCTTCATAGTCTGAGAGTGATAGATTGTGCTATTATCATTCTTCTTTTTTATTAAATTATAAGAATAATGGTAGGCATCTGTGCTTTAAGTTATCAAATAATTATTTTATTTTTTAGGGATCGAAAGAAAAAGAAATTTGTGAGAAATGATGATCAAGAGCATTCTAAAAAAATGAAGACAGAAAGTGGCGTTTGGATTCCTAAGAGTTATAAATCAGACCTGTATCCTAATATTTGTCTATATTTTCATTGAATTCCCTCTCCCCCCCCACTATAAAAAGCGTGTATTTCATGGTTTTTAAAAATTGTTCATCTTTCAGATGTATTCATAAAATTAAATAAGAGTGAAGTTTATGGTTGCACATTATACACTAGCTATAAAACTGAAAGATTTAAAAATAAGGGAAAGATGAGCATAAAAAGTTACATTTCTGTGCATACCTAAATGCAGTTTATTTAAAAGAAATGACATACTTTATAAACTTAAAAATTTTCATTATTAGATAACGTAAAAAGTTTGTCATATTTGTCTTCCATTTCAGGCACATCATCGAACTCTGTTTCATCTTCACAGTCACTGTTATTCTGATCCATAAATAAATAATTATCTTCTGTTCCTTCTAGATTGTTAGATATACAGTACAAAGTCCGAGATCTATGCTCATTGGGACTTTGGTGATTCCGAGATCACCAGTTTAAAACTTGTAAGATGGCATGTAGAAATTAAAAATATGAAATAATGAAGCACTTGTCTTAATGGTATCAAAATTTTAAATTTATTAAAAAAAAGCGTAATATTATTTATGTTATTAAACATTTCTTTCAATGAAAGTTGTTCAACTTGCTTTTCTGGGGCTAATATTTTGTCTTTAATTCTGTAGACAGACATAATTTCTTATTCAGTTACAAAGTTCCATTGTTCAAGTTCTGCAGTTATTGCATCAAGAATTTTGACTAACTTGTGAATCAAAATTTTTTTTCATTTTCCAATAACCCTATCCTTTTCTTCACTATTGGTAGCGGTATTTTCTGGATCTAAAACCATACTACAGATTTTGCCGTTCGTTAATTGATTAATAATTGGGCCATTGTCATCGCAATGAAAAACTTGTTATATATATATCATGTTCATTTATTACCGCTTCCACAAATTTCTTTAAAAAATCTATTAATTAGAAAATTTAACCTTTGGTTTGCAATATCCGAAAACCTTCACATTCGTGGCTATCATATTCATCATCCTCCCCATGAAATATGCTAGTTGGGCATAAATTATGCCAAGCGTTTCCCCCCCCCCCAACTATCTGGAGGCACATCCTCGCGCGATCTTGGCGATGCTCCATACAGCAAATTTTATACTAAACTATTCCAAAAATTCTTGAATAGTCTTGCCATTATTTAAGAAATTTAACATGGATTTAAAAAATTCTACTTTATATTTGCATTTTGGCGGGCGCACTATTCTTATAACTGTAGGCTGAACGGTGAATGTACAGTCTGGAAGAAAGAATAATATGGATACATCATCTTTCGCTAAAACTTTAAGTGAAATATGAGCCAAACAGTTGTGTACAATCAGAAATTTATTTTACGTCATCAGGTAAACCAACCGAATTTTTTGGAGCCTCGGGTATGAAATGATTTTCAAACCAATCATTAATTAACACTCGTGTCAACCGTGTTCTTTTATTTGCATAATATATAATGACAAACTCTTTACTCATTTAAATGCTCGAGGTTGTGTATTTTTCCCGATTACGAAAAGTTTACTCTTGTGCGTTCCTGCAGCATTTGCACATGCTAAAATTGTTAATCTTGCTTTGGAATCTCTGGCACTAGTTGGAGCCTTTTCTCTAGACGTTGCCAAGGTATTTTGCAGTACATGTTGCCATAAAAGACCAGTTTCACGAGCATTGTATATAAATTTGTTCTGAAGATAGCTTTAAACTATTAACGAGTTCAATGAATTCATCTGCAAATAGTTCAGCAGCTTCAGTATCAGCTGAAGCTTTTTCACTTGAAATTCCTGATTACCTATACCACGGCGATTTTTAAATTTAGTTAACTAACCTTTTGAATATGTGCAGTCAGTTTTTAAAGTCATTTCTTAGTGAAATATTTTAACTTAAGCCATTAGCATTGGACCCATCAATGGCAGCCTTCACTGCGACGCTGTCTGACCCACTCAGTCATCACTTTGTCATGATCTTCACTTTTAGCTGAACGAATAATTTTTCCATTATTCATTGAGAGTGGGGTGTTGGAATCCACTAAAAAAATTTCCTTTTTCTGTTTTGTTGTGTCATATACAGTTGACTTTCCAATGCCATACTCCTCACATAATTTTGAAACGGATATACCTTTATCCATTTTTTGCAGCAATTCCACTTTTGTTTAATTGACATTGAAACATGCTTTTTGCTTTGTAGATCCTGTTGCAGCTCCAGAATTAGAAACTGTTTTCAACATAATCGAAAGTTAAAACTTTAATTTTTGTAAATTGCTGTTAAAAAAAAAAACAGGGTGCAAAAAAAATAATATGCTGAATCAAATCAGAAAGTTAAGGAATAGCGCAATCTGATATATTGATTGAGAGTCCTTCGAATTAGTAGAGTATAATTTTAGCCTAGCTTAGTGGCGTCCGCTATACATTATTTGCTATGCATCATGAGATTAGGGACAAAAGACAAGTTGTTCCACTAAATTTTGTCTTGCTTCTATCGCGCACTGAGACAATTAAGCCCAATTGTATTAGTTATTTATTATACTTACATCTTATTCTTGCACATGAAGGCTTATCTGAGTCCTAAATAAATAAATTCCCACATATACTTAAAGTTTATCGAGGGCCTGCGCTAGGTATCTTATCCCCTGATACAGTCTCTGTGGATCCTAAGTTATGCTGCCAAGTGTCTAAGTTTGAAATATTTGCTGCCCCTAAATTTTGGATTCCAGTGCTTTCCCTAAATTCTAAGCATCAGAATATTTTGAAAATCTGACTTCAGGAATATTTTTTAGTTAATTAATCTCTTTTATTAAACTGTCATTAATTAATGTAAACTATCATTATGTGCAGTTTTATAGAGATTTGAATTCAGATTATCATTTTATTTGTTTAATTATCCTTCCTATGTTTTATGATGTGAAAAGCAACATTTGATCTCTAAAACTGAATTGAAGGAGAACTAAAATTCTGTCTTCTTGATTGTCCTTTCTTTATTCATTTGTTTCATCTATTTCATCTCTGTTATTAGCAATAATGTTAGAAGATGTAAATAACATCCCCCACCCTAAATGTTATTACAGAAATTTATTCAATCTTCCTAAGTGATATGTAAGGATATCAGTTTGAATATTTCTCATTAAATTTGAATAGAATACTGCATGCATTATTCTTGAGGAGGTAAAAATTAAAATTTTGAAAGCATTGTTTTAACATTTTTTTAATCATGTACAAACCTAGCTCATATATAAAATATGCACTTTGATGTGCGCAAATGAGCTCAGCGGCCATATTATTGATATTAAATAGGAACAGTGAGTTCTACTGGCAAAGCTTTAGTGTGCACAGCTGATCTGAGCTCATTTTTGAAAATAATCTTATCACCATTGACATTCTTTGAGCTAACTCACAGAAACTTATGATGTTACATAGAGCCTCTGCTCCAAGCATAGGCAGCATGAGCAGCTCCCTAGAGCACCATCTAAGTTGTTTTCAAGAATGGTGTCTGGTTAAAAGTATAGTTTGCTTTGAACTATTAATATATTTAATTTATGCAAGGTTCTCAAACTGTTTAGCTGAGGCTGATATTTGAAGTACTGTATAATTTTCTGCATATTTTATGATGGTATTACTTAGCACATGGACTTTTATGACATAAAAAATGAACAAAAAAGAAATGATGGATGAGGATTATTTTTGCAGTGATTTACAGTGGTATAAAACTATTAAATGTTATCCAACTCCGATAAGTATTATTGTATGCAGCTTTTTCGTTAAAATCATTAACTTCTAACTTTATACAGTACATTCAATAATAAATGTAATTTATAAAAACAAATGGAAAGCGATATGGGCCATTTCTGTTTGCTATCATTTTGAGGTACTATGTTAGGAGACTGGAAAAATACAGATTTTTGGTAATTGTCAAGACAATAAGTAGGCAGGATACCAGAATTTCACCAGTTGTTGTGCAGGTAATGTTCCAATATACTAAGTGTCAGTGGCGGCTCATAATAAGCACTGGAACTGCAGCACCCCCAATTTCCACTTATTATTATTTTTAATATTTAATATAGTGTGCCCTTTAGTCTTTAATTCTTTCTTTATACTTTTACAATACATAATCCTTAAGCTTTATGTCAGTAACCATCCCCCACTTTGTCAAAAAGGTACGAAAGTCTTTGGAACTGCGCGCTTCACAGTTCCAGCGATGTAGTGTTTGGCTGCTCTGCGCATGCGCACACAGAAAGCAACGGGCAGAGAAAAGAGCACTGTCGCTCTTGCAGTGCCGAAATTCTGGCATGTTGTTTGAAAAGTGAATTTCTTTTTACTCCAAGCATGTGGTATTCCTCCACAAGGTGGAACTTCATCATATGGACCATAAACAGAGTTCATAAAAATTTGCAACCTTTTAAAAAATTGCCTTAGTGAAATTCAATCAACATCAAATACAGAACAACAAATGAAAGAACTGTTAGCAATGGGAATTTTAAAATATCTAACTGATGATAATTTCAAGTTTGGGTTAGTGGGTTAGAGCTTTTTTATCAGATGCCTCATGTTGAAATAATATACAATCAAATGCAATTCAGAGAAATTAGTGTGTTTAAAGTTAACGAATATATAACAAATTCCAAAACTGATATCTTAGAATTAAGAAACTCAAAGTACTGTAAGAATTTTCCAAAGACACCGATGGCAGAATAGAAGGAAATATTTGACTTTATACTATGTATTGATATAATGCAGAGATATTCTTCCACTAAACGGCCCACCAGCGGCTGAGCGGTCGCTGAACACTGGTAGTTCGGTCCGAGGTTCGAATCCCGCGAATGGGCTGCCTGCGTGGGTGTTTTCGTGGTTTTCCCCATGTGTAACGTGTATACGAGCCAGTTACTCTTAGGAAGTCCTCCACGATGGCATCCCTCCTCTTAGGCAGATAGCCCTCGAGGCTTTGCCATAATCACATATACGCACTCTTCCAATAAACACTTAGCAGCTTCTAAATTGTTAAACAAGAAAATGCTTCGCTAGTTTTAGGAATGAACATTCTACGGAAGAAATAGTACTGACTACTGAAGCATATCCAATGATTGACAAAGAAAAGCTTAAATTAAAAGTATTCTATTGTAGGTCTGATATCCATGAATACTGCAAATTAAATGAGTTACTGAAATTTATCTTCGAAAATAATCTAGATTATGTTCTTAGTGGAATTACAAAACTGATAAAAATTCCCTTGAGAGTTCCCATGACTACATTGAAACATTGAAAAGAATGAAAACTGTTCTAAGAAGCACTAGAATTCAGAAAGACTAAATGCACTTGCATTGCTTTCAATAAAGAAAAATTTCCTCAGTTGTCATCCAGAGATCAAGGAGAAAATTATTGATTGTTTTGCGCAAAGTAAAACAAGAAGAATGGATTTCATTTTTAAATGAATAGACAAAGAGTGAACTGTAAAAATTTTGGTTAAAGTAATTAAGAAATGCTTAATTTTTGTATTGTAAGATTTCCTGATGTTTCAAAATAAATTTTCTTTTTATGCTTGTTTGTTTCCTTTCAGACAATTTTAAAACATAAGGTTAAATTTTATTTGGAACAGCACCCCCACTAATTTTAGCCACGAGCTACCACTGCTAAGTGTACAACTCTGTTGGAGGGTGTTTCATCCTTCTTTCCCTACCACCATACTTCTTGAGAGAACTTTCTACTCACCATTACTTTAAGTGCTTAACAGACACTATGCGTTTACAAACAAATATTTCTTATCCAGGGTTTAAACTTGGTCCAGTGATACAACATCCAGCATCATTAATCGCTGCAGTGATAAGAGCAGCAAAAACCATTAATAAATGTGGTTATAGAAAGACTGATGTTTGCATTTGCTCCCCTCCCCCCATGTGTAGTTGGGTAAGTGAGCAGACTAATTCATTTTGATTTGTAAAAAGTATTGTTTTAAATATCTTATCAAATTGAGTCTATTGATTTTGCGGTTCAAATCTTTGTCTAACGTAATATTAGTATGAAATGTAGTCTTAAAATTTTATTATGAGTATATATGTTTGAAATTATTATTATTAGATTCTGCAAATTAAATCTTTCTCCTTAATATGTTGTTAAGTTACAAAAATTGGCAACAAAAGAATAAAATAAAATATCAGCATGATGATGACAGTGATGGGGAAAGCCAGTTTGGGAAAAACAGAGGAATGTTAAAACGCACGAAAGGTAATTATTTAATGTTGTTATTTATATTTCTCTGATTGTGAGATCATATCTTAAAGAATGTGAATTTTTAATGAATAAATTTTTTAAAATTCATGTGCAAAATGCTAATTTTGACTTTATTTTAGCTTGTGAATGAAATATTAAAATTTCAAATCCTTTCTGGCATGAAAATGAAATATTTAAGTATTATTAAAATACAAAAATTAAACACAATAAGTATTTTAGAAAAATGGTTTTCTTATCCTAATTTTTGGAAACTGAATATGATCATTGTAAATCCTCCCCCCCCGGAAGGATTAAATCTTTCTTTGTGAGACAAAAATTTAACTTTTGGAAAGGGGATTGAAGGTGTTTAATATGTTATTTTAATTCGTGATATAATATGCTAAGAAATAAAACAGATCATAACTACTTCATTTGATTTTTTTTTTTTTTTCCCATTTACCTACCGGAAAAGACTAAAAGTAATTACTTGCAAATGCTATGTAAAAGAAAATACATAAATTTCAGATCTTTTCATAAACCTGAAAGATTTATATATTCATGCACATTGCTGTTTTTTTTTTGGGGGGGGGGGGGGAATTTAATCTGATTTGTGTGTCTGACCTCTCTACTAAAAATTAAGAACCTTTATTCTTGAAATAGATATGTTTGTGCATTGTTTCCTCTTTATGTTTTTTATTTTTAATTACTATTAAAATATTTTGGCTTTTGAAGTTTTTTTTTTATTTTAGCTAAGACTATATCTGCAGAAGTACTGATCTTTTACTGGCTTCTGGCTGCTTTAGTAATATACAGAAAACTAGAGAAATTTGTTTTAATTACTAATTTTCCAAAAAAAAATGTATGCAATCTGGAACTTTTGTTTGTCCAAAGAATGCATTTTATTGCAGTTGCCATGTGACAGTATATTGTAATTGCTTATTTTAATTAACTGAATGTTCTAAGGAAGAAGGATGCTGGCGAGGGCATTTTTTTAAACAATGCCAGAAATATTGTTTTCTTTCAGTAAATGTGTTTAGTATCAGATTCTCATTTTGGCCCTTTTTAGGGCTAAGATTTTATCTCTAATTGCATAATGATCAATCATCTCATAGAAATTACTTTTTGGCTGCTTACATGTAAAAAATTTTACATCCAAAATGGAGCACATGCAAACTTATAATTCTTTTGTCACTAAAAGTTGTCATCTCTGTCTCAGTAGTCTTAAAAGAATTCAAGCATCAGTTTATCTTATATGTAGAATGGATATATGTCCTTTATTATTTGGGCATTAAAAGTATAACATTTGCCAGCAGAATCCTAGTTGTCATTTTCTTTCCATAAACTATGCGTAATGTAAAGATGAACCAAAATTTAGAACAATGTTATCAGCTTTTTACAAAACGAACAAAGTACTGATTGCATTGCCTAATGTAAAATAGTGAAAATACTTCACATTTTGTACGTTGCCTCATATTCTAACTATCTAGATTGAAATGTCTGAAGGAGATTTGTAATCAAATGTGAAGTATCACGAACTTTGAATTTGTAACCTTAATATGATAAAAAGAAAATGCACCCAAGTCATAAAATTGTAATGAGAATAGCAGCAAAAACCCTTTTGGCAAACATACAACACATTTTTTGATGAATTATCATTGGAAAGTAAAATATACCCTTGCTTATCTATTCTTATCTAGATCTGAAGTGGTGGATTTCTTTAAAAATTTACTTTTCTTTTTTTTAGCTTAAACAGTTTTGATATAATAACCTTTACACAATCACCTTTGTTGTTGCAGCAAGTGAATTAGGAAACTTTCATATTTTCCATATTGCTTTATAGAAAATATTATCTAAAAAGAAGTATTGTATGCTTTATCTGAAGTTTATTTGATATACAAATTAGCCAATCTTGCAGATTTATTAATAAGCTGAACAGAGTCTTAAGTCCAGTTTCTAGAATAATATTTATTCCTCACGTAGGTTTTATTACTGGCATTATTTCATGTCATAGAATTTCCTGATTTATTGTGCATCATGAAATTGTTGTTCTATATAAGATTCATTGCAATTTTTTTAATAAACCTGAGTTTTGATTTTAGGTAAACAAAAGGGTGTGAAAGGCAAGTTTAACAAACCTCCAAAAAGAGAACTGAAAACTAAGGAAGAAATTCTCAAAGCAAGGAAGAAGAGAGAGCGACAGTTGGAACATATAAAGAAAAAACAGAAAATTAAATTAAACCGTGCAAAAAAGCAGAAAAATAAATGATATTGAAATGATATTGTACATACATATTATTTTGTAAATATGAAAATATAATTGCTTTTTTCCACAAAAATTATCATTTCTTATTTCTCATTTTATATTTAGCTCAGAATTTTCAACACAAGAAAGCCATTGTCATGATATTCAAATTATATTTGACGTTTTCATTTTGTTTCTTATATACACTGCTGGCCACCGTAAATGCAACACCCCTGAAGGAAGCATGCAAATAACATGAAATTTACAACATGCATTAGCGGAGGTGAGATATGCAAATGATTAGAAATTCAGCGCAGACGCACATCACGCGCGCCATTTAAGGCTTGGCGTTTTCAACGATTTCAAGTTCGGCAATTTTTTTTTTTTTTTTTTCCCCCAAAAAAAAAAAACAATCAATTATGATTCGTAGTAAACAAAGGTCATCGTTTGATCAAATATCCGAGTTCGACAGAGGAAGGATAGTGGCCTACCGAGAGTGTGGATTATCTTTCAGGAAAATCGGTAGTCGTGTTGGACAAAACCAAATAACTGTAATGCGAATATGTGACCGTTGGATTACGACGGACCGACGTGTTCGATCGCATCCACCTCAGTGCACCACTTCACGTGATGACAGGAACATTGTGGGCATGGCAAATGACAGATCGCTCAATCACATCATGAACCATAGCACAGCACATTCAGTCTGTAACGCATCATCCAGTGTCTGCTTGTACCATTTGACGTCATTTACAGCAGAGTGGTCTGTCCGCAAGACATCCATTGCTTCGTCTACCCTTGACGCAGAACCACAGATGTCTCCGCCGCCAATGATGTGATGAAAGAAGGACGTTGATGGCAGAATGGAATGAAATTGTCTTTACTGACGAGTCGCGCTTCTGTCTACAACACCATGATGGTCGGATTCAAGTCTGGAGACGCCGTGGACGGAAGATGCTGAACAGCTGCGTTATGCACCGCCACACTGGTCCTGCACCGGGTATTATGGTATGGGGCAGTATTAGATATCACTCTCGCACTTCTCTAGCACGCATTGCCTGTACATTAAACAGCCAGCGCTACATCTCTGAGGTGTTGGAGACAGTTGTCCTTCAGGGCTTGCCCACAGCCATATTTCAACAGGATAATGCACAACCACACGTGGCATGCATTGTCCAAGTGTTCGTCAATCTCCAAATTGAATTGCTTTCCTGGCCAGCTTGCTCTTCGGATCTTTCGCTGATGGAAAACATGGGTCCATGGTGGCTGAACGATTGACCAGATTACATCCAAGCTCCCCATATATAACTTTGGCAACATGTGGAAGTGCTTGGTCTGCTGTACCCCAAGAACACAAAGAAGTTTTTGAATCAATGCTGAGGTTGGGCAGCGGGTGATCCAATATGGGCGGCCACTCTGGCTACTGATTCTGAAAGGAACCACACTTCACAGAAGTCTATAAATTTAATCATTTGATATTTCATCAACATATTATCTACTAAATAAATTTTGTTGTGATATCTTTTGTCTTTCGTAGGTGTTGCAATTTGGGTGGCCAGCAGTATATAAACATATGTACTATCTAAATACTTCAAGGTTGTTATTACAGTATTAAAATGTAAATTATTTCCTGTTTATCATTGGGATCAGCTATGCTGACTTATTTTAATTTGATCGAATCGGAAGATTGCTGACTAATTTGAATTTGATCCAGGTTCCAGTCCTGTGAATGAGTTGACTTCATCGATTTATCATTGTTTTCTGCATAATAAGTCATTTTCTCTTTAAAAGTCCTCCATGAAGGCAGCTGTCCCATAGGCAGATAGTTCTTGTGTGCCTTACCTTAATCAGTTAACCATCCTATATCGCTTTTTTAATGAAATTGGTACATAGTTATTAGGTTATTTTCTTTTAAGGTTTAAGGTTTCATTGCCAAGTAGAATAAATGTTGCCTAATATAATTGCAGTTTTCTTTACAGTGGAGCTTAACTTATCCTTATTGCATTCATGCTTTTTTAGATGATTGGTAATAATGCATTTGGGTTTTTTGAAAACTGGATAAAATACAAACAGCACTTATTTTAGTTTAAAATTTAACAATATTAAAAAAAAAAAATCTGTTTTATGTCTCATTATTACTTTTAATCCCTTTTTTTATCTCTTATCTATTTGTTGAAATTTCTTTGCTCTATAAAAAGTATCCGACTCCTAAATTTTAATTTAATATCATTTGGAATGAATTATTTACAATTTTGTATGCTAAATGCCGATTTATGATTATCGCCTTCCCTTCAACAGTGTGTTTCTTACACTTCATGTTTTTCTTCAGTCAATAAGAAATTTGGTGTTAGCAGAAAAGTATCAATTAATGCATTCAGATTTCAGATATAGTAAGAAAATGTTGTCTATGATGTTAAAAATGTAGAAAGTAAGTCAATAATGATTTTGATTATTTAAAACTTTTTTCAAAAATTAGCATTTATACAGTATTTCGAATAAGAGATCTATATCACTAGATTGAAGATGATTGAATTTGGCAATAGTAGACTGAGTGTGTTTTCAAAACCTTTAAATATAAATTATTTGAAGAGTTTTTACTTCAACAAAATGTAGACCTTTGTCATTATTCTAGACCAAGGATTCCCAACTTGCATCACCCCTTTTAAAAGATTTTTTTTTTTTTTTTTTTTTTTAAATATCATTGACCCCTTAAATATACAATTACTACAAAGAATTGCACATAAATAACTTAAAGATAACAATTCTGCTGAGAATATGAACAAAAGTTTAAAAAAATAGTTTGTTAGGTTTTTTTTTAATTTTAATTTTACAAATATAAACAAGATTTCAAAAACAAATTTGTGGTTTCTAATTACACAAAAATTCAATATTAATTAATGTGATGGCTGTGCTGGATGTATAGGGGCAATTTTTTTTAATATTTGGTATAAAATTGCTTAACTTCATTCTCAATTCACCTGATTCAATAATATTTTTTTTGTTTTGTTTTGTTTTGTATAGTAAATTATGGATTTAACTAAAGCCTAAAGAGGGAAGAGTTAATGTTGGTTCATTCACAACTATTATTTTGGGATATTTCTCTTGTTTGACTTTTAAAATTTAGCATACTCATGTGTTTTGAATAAGACTTGATTTTGTACACTATAGCTTTATATCAATGAAATAAATAATTAAAAATTGGGGGGTATCAGTGGGATTTTTATTATGCAGATGAGTGTATATGTTTGACTGTCGACCCCTCGGTCATCATTGAACCCCTTTAAAATTTCATCGACTTCCAGGGGGTCTATACTAACCCCATTGGGAACCCTGGACTAGACCATTATTTCAGCGTGAGCTTTGTTAAAAATTTGTGAAACATTTTTATCTACAAGCGTTTCTGTGCATTCCTGTATTTTGTTAGCATTTTGCTATCACCTACAGCAGTGGTGCCCAACCTTGTGCTCGTCAGCCCAATTAGGTACTATGAACAA